GAGTTATCATCTTGATACTTTAGTTTGACAGTGTGAACCTGTCTCAGTAAGACGCCTTGGTTTATGATCATTTTCACGTTTCACGCCTTACAGGATAACTGGAGTCTAGGCTGGGGAAACCACGTATTGTGAGTACTTACATACTCAACTTCCTCTTTCTTGGTAGGAGTATTAAGTTCAAGTACTCTCCAGTTGTATATCGGTCATAAAGGGAATTTGTGGTTGGCTTTGCACTAGTTTTTGACTTTACACAACAAATCGGATACACCACTGAGTTGCCATTGCCCTGAGGTTCACCGTATTTCCAAGTTAAGCAACGAACAGGTTAGAAGTGGTTCTCTCATTAGGTCAACTCAATATTTCGTGGCGGTCCACACTCCAAGGGGTAGGGACGTAAAAATTGTAAAACTGTCCAGTCATTTGCCGAACTTGGCGGTTAAAATTGTCTGATTTCAAGCATCTTCTGCTTTAGTGGCATAGGCCTAGATCCTTCAGTCTCAAGGAGAATTGTTCCATTCTGGATTGCCTCGAGAAGGTGTCAATCGTGACAGAAGTTTATAATTTTTAATTTAAAATCGGCAACATAATTGCTGCATCTTAACCTGTTCAATGAATTAATCAGACGGCTGGATGCCCTTAGTACGGTAGCAAGAACATCATTTCCGCGACAGCTTAACGTTTCGATGCATTAATCTACAGGGCTGGTACACTCCTTGCCATTGCTACGACGCTGTCTGGGATTTGAAATAGGGCTGACGGTTTGTTGAAAAAAAAATAAACGTTATTTCAGTTCTCGTCGGCAGTATGAACTAACATAAAAGGAGACCAACAATTTAATCGCTACTTCACCACCATTGTGTGTGTATTCAAGAGGAATTGAAAAAGCTTTCCTTAAAATCGCTCTCCAGCCCTCTGAGGCTCTTAAGGTCGCAAGCTGGTTGCACTGGCATAGAGAACTCATTCCTACCGTAGAAGAGCCCTGAAGGCACAAGATACATACTCAAATTGCCAAGACTAGGAGTGCTGCCTCTTTAGATATGGCTAACTACCTACTCATCATGGCTCAACACCCCCACAACTTATTAGCGTATCAAGTACTTCGATGCATGACCAATATGGACATTTTTTAATCCAAAAACGTATTATGAAACTGAATGTGATGAACAAGGTGTAAATTAATTTATGTTCAATGTAGTGCGCCGCCAAGTGCGTAAGATGGTGTCATAGCACCATGTCAGTGTGAATAACGAAACGCAACAACGCTTGAAAACTGCATTGCTTCCCTTGCTTTCTCGTGGAGTGCGATGTCTTGTGGTGCAAGCATCTGTGCATAAGGCGAACAACAACTTGCCCCAATTTGTTGTTTGGTTTACCTAAAACCGCTCTGTTGGATCCCGTTTTCCTGAACATTTGGGAGTCTATTTGTTTGTTACGCATCATAGTCTGACAAAACTATCGAAAACTTAATATCACATCTGCCATCTACTGCATTAACGAGGCAGTATGTTTTGATGAATCTAAATCTGTTTCAGTTGTGTTGGAGAGCCTCTATCATGGAGGAATGTGAGAGCTGCAGGGCAGCACTTTATGATAAGCATATCAAAAGGCTTCTACGTTTCAGAAGTTTCACATTTTCAGTGCTGCTCACGTACAAAACCTGGGATGCACATGCAGAATTCCAAATAGGGAAAGTCTACGTGCGGATTCCACCCAGGAGCTTTTCATCCGAGCATGAAGCAACCATTAGCAATCCCCTTAAGTAGCTAAAACTGCTTAAGCGAACCTACACTACAAAGATCATCAAATAAGTAGCGAGGCTGAACGCTTAGGCGGCCGTCCGAAATCTAATCAAATTACCAAACCTCCGCCCTGACCCTCACTCACCTGACTATTCGCTGTACTAGACGATCAGTTTACCCTCCCTTAATTACGGTACTGTCCGGCACTCCCAAATCATTTGAGGCAAAAAGATAACAACAACCATACCCCGTCTGCTTCCCCTGAGTTCAACGCTTACACATCCACATGCCCTGACGGTACTCTAAGGACCAGCTGAGTACATTCAAACTAATAACTATCCGCGAGAAGGAATCTACTGCGAGGATTTAAGTCTACTAAACTCGACTAGTGCTAATTGCAGCAATGCAATTGACAGAATGCGGGGAACTCGACGGTGGCAAGGTCGCTCCTCTAACGAGAACCATATAATTTGTAAGACGAGACTAGATAGTGCATATTTACACAAAACCTGTCAACTAAGTAGAAATAAGAGGCTATGCCTGAGTTTTCGCAAATGGCGCATGGAGTTAGATGAAACCAGACACAAGCCACTTCCCTCAACATTACCACTCATTTGTTTACGGCTAAAGGCGTAACGGACCCAGACAACAGTTATGAGCTTTGCAAATTAAAATGAACAAACTAACATCACATGTCATCGAAACAAAAGGAACTCAAGACAAGTCGCGTTGACTGCTCTAGTCCTTTCGTAAAACTCAAAAGCCATGTAATAACTAATTCCTTAATGTGTTAACTATCTACTCTATACATTAATACGACAGCGAGAACCAGAAATCACTAATTTGAAATTTCAAAAGTGAGTCCACTGCCCGATGGCGAATTGTTCCCGTTCAAACTCGTTTCCAAAGCGACAACCACCCGAGTTTCTAAAGCAAAGTGAAAAAGCCAAACCATTAAAGTACAAAGAAAATCAAGTGCTACGGTAACAAGACTGCAAAGACTTAAAATTCCTTTGTAGATTTAGCTTAGCTTTACAGGCTAACCCAAAAGCAATGAGCAAAGTTAAAAGTAAGCAAAACAATCCGGTCAACAGATTACACGCTAATGTTAGATTGTTCAGAGCCAAACTCTACCAAAGCTTACCAGGTGTGGGTTTGAACCCATAAGCGAGTGCGAGACGTGAATTTTCATCGATTCGGCCCTTGATAAAGGTGTCCTCGTTCACTTTGTACAAAGAAGCAATGCCAAACTTAGTGTTAGAAAAGCTCCCAAGCCAACTAAACATACACCCAACGCTCATCCGTTGATAGGTTTGGATAACTTTCCATTCGATGTGTTTCTGATCGTTAACTGAACCGTAGACCTCGATATCCCCTCCACTGTACCCGACGGAGTAAGTATGTTTCCTAAGCTTTAAATTGTCCGTGGAAACTACAAACTGTGCACCGGCAACATAACCCTTATCACTTTGATGCAGTTAGACCATGAATACAATGCTTACCCAACAGCAACTGAGGCAGTTACCAGGGGGTATTTTGAGGCGAATTCCATTTCTATTTCAGCATTAACTTTGTCCCTTTCCACACTATTCTTCAGCTTCAGCTGCTTTGTGCTATATTTGGTCATTAACAATAAGAGATGGACCACCCAAGGCTATGGTCAACAGTAGCAACGATATTGTGCTTTGCCAACAATGCCTTGTTTTTTATTTCGACATCACTTGATATTTGATTCTTTGAGTCAACTTTCGTCTTCACTGATACTCCACCAACGGGCTTGAACGTAACCTCAGAAGTTGCAACTATTTGGTTGTCATTCTCAGTGCACTGGATATGGAGATCCACATTTTCTTCCGTGTTCGACTTAAAGTCAAAGTTTATAAGATTAAATTTAAAATATTTGGTGAAAAGATCTCTGGCGGGCTTGCCAATGTCAGCAAACGACGTCAAAACCATCTCACCGAGCAAATCACCAAAACCTTGACTTATGAAACTGCCGCCGCAACTAATTTTTATAACGTTTACAAAAATGTCTCTGATGATTTCGTTATAAAAAATGGTAGCAATAGGGTTACAACCTGCTTTTGATAAATATAAAGCGTGAAATTCTTTCCTTTAAGAGCCATTTATGTGCAACCAGACATTGGAAAGGGAGAGATGGAGCTGTTGAATCGTAAATGCACCTCGCCCGTGACATTTTTGGCAGTAAGGCCAACGAGATTATTTTGAACCTAATTATTTGAGGACTTAATTTACATAAGTTCAAACGGAAGGATGGCGTCTCGTATGCTAAAGTTATTTTAGTCTTGTTTTCGCCCCAGGCAAAAAAGCGTCCGCTTTCACATTTTATTAACACTGATCCATGTTTAAATGTTGTCACTACTGCTGTATTCCATCAAATCAAATCCTTTTTTATGAACAAAATACGTAAGCATATCACCTTTTCCTTTCACATACACTCTTCCTCTGTATTCGTAGTCATATTTCTCGCCCAATCGTTCGATGACTTCCTTTGGTGTTTGTATCTGGCCTGTGGATCCTGTGGAGTACATTCTACTGGCAACATTAACGGTATTTCCCCATATATCGTAGATGGGCTTGCGAGAGCCAATAATTCCAGCGGTAACATCACCGATGTAATAGCCAATTTTCATTTGGAACTTATCTGTGCCTATAATGTACTTGTCGTTAATTTCATTGAGAGTGTCATACAGGGCGAAGGCAAAATCCATTAACTCGTAGATGTGCCTGTCCTTTGGCACTTGTGAATTACGCTGTAGCTGATTCAGCCCAGATGCGATCATGTAGCAATCATTAACTGTTTTGATCTTCTCCACGCTCGCATACTGTGGGTGCTTCATTAAGTTATCAAAAGCACAGATAATCGTGTTTAGAAGCTTGAGTGCACCTTCACCGCCGCGATAGTCCTCACGGTAGTAGCTCTTAAAGAAATTAGTCAAAGTCGCAAACGAAACAGCAACATCGGCGATTGCGTTTGCAAAACAGAATGTGCCTGCCTTTAGTCGTCGATGGCCCAGCATCGCCAGTTGTTTGAAAATATAAGGCGGAATGACGTTGTCCAACAATTGTTGAGCTGATTCACTCTCTTTCGCGGCTATCTGACAAGCAGATTCGGCCTCACGAAGCACATAGTACCACAACCGAATGCTTCTTTCGTTCTCTGTGGTAATAAAATAGGCTACCGCTGCTAGTGTGAATATTGAGGCTATACGTTCGTTGATGCCTTCCACGGGTTTGTCTAGATGCATATACCAGAGCGTGGGCTCGCAGTAAGCGTAATCAAAGTCTTTCCTAGCTTTTCCAAGAGCAAAACAAAAACCAATGGTGCTTATTAGAATGCAAATTCCGCGGATCCATGAAAAACTGGATGTGGCCATGCAGTGGACTAAAATGGTCAGCATTCCAAATTCCAAATATATTACACGGTTCTGAGTAGTGGCGTTATTTTCAATGTCTGAAGATGAGATTTGGACAAAAAATACTGCAGAGGGCATTAAAGTCAAAATTGCAAGGACAATTTCTCGAAAAGTATTGCTTGCAAAGATTCTGAACCCAGTCTTACCTCCCGCTATAACAGTGGAGGCGTGTCTTGTCGATCCATACGCAAAAGTGGCGGTCAACAAGAAAGATGAAGCCAGCACAGCTATGAAAAGCAGAGGTTCTCGGGCAACATATCTACCAGAGTCAACATTTAAATGTATTATATATGGAACCAAAATGGCCATAGTGGTTAGTGATACCATTACAACGTCGAGAATAGGTGCGAAGCGCGGCGATTCAATAGTAACCACTGGTACGTATCCCTGCATATAGTCTTTAAATGCGGTTTCGATTATCTTATCTTGGAAGCGATGAAAAACCGGTGTCAGAGGTACGAATCGGAAAAGCTTCACCTGATGTTTGGGATCATCATGAAGGGTTTGAACTAGCCGAATGTCTCGTAAATTACTCCGTCGAACCTTTTCTGCTTCAAGTTGTGCTGAACTTTGATCATCTGAGGATAAAGTTGCACCTTTGTCGTGCGAATTTTGGGTTGCCTTATCACTTTCGCTTAATTCTCCATCAGAGTCATTTGTTTCTCTCGTTTTTGCTTCACTCTGAAGAGTCAAAATGCGGCTTGGCATTCCTGTTTGTCCAAAAGTTTCACCTTGCTTTCTCATTAGAGACGATAGTGGATCGACAAAGTAGGTCTTCAGTTCCACTTCAACTTGATCCAGTCCACCTATACCAACCTGTTGTTCTATGACCATGGGCAGAGGTGGGCCTTTGGCGAAACGGTAGAGACCTTTTACAAGTTTGAATGTTGTATGTGAAATGTGCACACGACCAGGCAGGCCATAGGTCTCCATTTCGTTGGCTACGATTACATCTGTTGAGTAGACGTCGTATCGAAAGCGGCTACAACCAATTATGGCTGCGTTTACATGGCCCGTATGCACACCCACGCGCATGTTGACCTCCTCATTGTTGTCCTTATTGAATGCCTTTATAATACGACACATACCGAGGCCGAACTCGACACAGCACATGGCGTGATCTTTGCGTTCAACTGGGCACCCAGCAACAGCATAATAGCAATCTCCGAGTGTGCCTATCTTTTCACAATTCACTTGAGTGGACAAATCGTCAAATCGGTTGTACAGATCGTTCAACAGCATGACAATTTTAGTAGCCGTTTTCGATGAACTCATCTTCGTGAAACCAACAATATCAGCAAAAAGAATACTGACTTCATTAAAAGATCTTGAGAAAACCCAGATATCATTCCTTTTGCTTTTGTCCCTTAGCATCGCAATGTACTGATCTCGTACCTGGACAGGCATGATGGCTGTAATCCAATCTCTCTGGTTTGTCAGAGATGTTTCAATTTGATTGCGGGCTCGCACTGACTTTCCAATGATTGAGAATGCGGATCGTCGACGTATCTCATTCCAAAATCTCAAATAACACCCGATGAAAATAACAGCGAGCCAACTAGCGACTTGAATCATGCAATAGTCCTCTGCGAAGATAGACCAAGCCTCCGTACCACCTTCAATAATGTAATACTTGTAGGCATGTACCTGCGAGTAGAGAGGGTAAATGCTTTTCTTGTAGAGATCTCGTTTTATGTGAGAATAAGTTACCTGTCGTGATGATATTATGACAAAGATGACGCAAAATATTAATAATACGGGCAGTATCATGTTCATGTCCAGAGGAAGGAAGACAATTATCATGACTATGAGAGAAAAAGGATAGGCATAAGAACCATCAATTGCAGCTTCTTGTCTGCAGGACTCGTAGAGTGTGTAAATCAGACTGCCGATCGTCAAAAGTAGCGAAATGAACTTGTACTCACTGCGGCTTAATCGCCGAAATGTGTATATGTAAAGCAATATAAAGGATCCCATCATAAGAGAGGCGAATTTGAGGTTAATCGCTGAGGCACCAGGTTGTCGAAGTGATTTGATGAGCATAACACACCAATAGGCAACGAGTAACTTCATAAATTGGCGCACTTTCCTTTTAAGCATGCATTCCGTGACGTTATGAAAATAATGCGAAATGATTGGGGAAGAAAATGACATCAGAAAACGAATATCTTCTAGTGCACCCATGAGTCGCTCAAAAAAAGTTATTTTTGTATCAGATCGGTCGAATATGTTCGTCATTTGGTGGTTTTGCCGAATGTCCTGGCCATCTTTTCCAACAACGTCCTCAAAGTCATAATCAACCTCCTCTTCATCATCAATTTGAGACGCCGTAAGTGAGGGCGGCATGCCGTTTAAACTGTAGGCACCGCTTACTTGCCTGCTGTCACTTCGGACAAATCGATCGCGACGCTTTCAATTTCGAGATCTTGTAGACAACTCACGCCAACACTAGTGGATGGACTTCAAATGATCAATTTAAGGTTATTTATAGGGTTAATGGACCTTAGAGAGCGCATCATCATTCAGCAGACTCAACGTACGAGGACGCGCAAGTTTGCACTGTGGAGTTAAAAAGCCGATCAGGATGATAAGAGAAGGAGGAACCAACATCGGATTTGACGATGTGTGCATTGAGATCTTTGAACTACGCGCAAAGGTCGCCTTTATCGAACAGTGTTGTGGCAGAATGCCACATCCTTCATCATCCACTCACTACTAAGTGGTCACCTTCTCGATTAAGCCCATCGCTCGCAGTTTGGAATTTTAAACAGCTCCTTAGCCTACTTGTAAATGTTACATCGGCAAACGAAGTTTAAACTCTAGACATCAATTGTTCAAATGTATGCCGTGTAAATTCAGCACTTTTTGCCTCATCATGGTTATCATCACCAAAGTAACAGCTAATTTAAGACAACCAATGTGAATGCCAGTGCAATTTGTTGAATCTCAGACTAAACAAGCAAAACATTATTGAAGGAGATCCCACGCACTGCATATATTGCACATTCCTTACGCCCAGAAAACATTGCAGTAAATGCGGAGCAAATTTGAGTTTAGTTTAGTTAAAATGTAAGAACAAATTGTCCACGAAACAAAATTCACTAAATCGGTGCCGTCTGTCAGTGGTTGGAAAATGAAGTCAAAGGTTCAGCTGTAGTGGTTGTTTATGGTTTAAAGGTCTAAAAATCTCCTGTAGGTTTTGTGATGTCGCGCCGACCGTCAAATGATAACCCGGCCTGAGTTGCACCTGTAGTTGAGCCAACTTTGAGGTCGGCTACATGGCGGATACCACCCATACTCATTCCCGACTGATTGGCCACCTTATTTGTTCCAGCCTGCAGACCAATTACATTCTTTCCACTCTCCGAGATGCTTTCGGTCTTGATATCGGCGATGTGACGAATGCCACCCATATTCATACCGGACTGGTTGGCACCCTTGTTTGAGCCAGCTTGAAGACCAATCACTGTTTGACTTTCTGCTGACATTGGATCGATTTTCATGTCAGCAATGTGACGCACTGCACCAATGTTCATCCCTGACTGGTTGGCACCCTTGTTTGATCCTGCTTGCAGGCCGATGATACCCTGTCCTTCTCTAGACATATCATCCGTCTTTATATCAGCGATGTGGCGGACAGCGCCCATGCTCATGCCCTTTTGACTGGCGCCTTTGTTGAAACCGGCTTGCAGCCCAATTACTGTGTTTGACAAAGCTATTTGTTCAGGTGAAAACGTCCTCTTATTCTCATATGTAGGCCTCGGTCCACACTTTGGGCCTTTAAAATTATGACGCTGACACTAAAATAGACAATATGAGGAGATATGGTTTGACATTTTTACAAAGTTATTTAATGGCTGTATAAGGTCCCTTTGAGGAATGAAATACTTTTTGTAGTTGCATTTGAATGCTGGTTTTCGCTAAGTTTAATGCCGCGCAAACACTCGAAATAATGCAAAACTCTTAAAATGAAGGATGAAACAAAAGTGCAACAGTTAGTTTCAAAAAACTTTTCAATAAGAGACAAAACCGTTGGTGCAGTAGCATCCTTGAAAGAGACCATTCGCTCCTCTTCAAGAGTGAAGCGGATCGATGCGCAAACATTAAGGCGAAAGCCCTCAGAACTTGCCTCAGTTCCAAGTTGGTAGATGCAATTTATGACTTGACCAATGTTGCGCATTTCAAACAAGTCGACAGTTTGAAACAGGCCTGTTTTCGGCACTCCGTAGGCAGCGCATGCATTTACGAATGTTTCGATATTCTCCATCTATAAGGCAAAGATTATGTTGCCTTACCCTTCGCTTCATTCAGCATTAACATGCAATCTGGCGTTCCGTTCTGGAGGCCGTTCGGTTAGTGGCACATACGCTAGCTCGAGCGTGTCGTGCTGCCACTTCACCTGTCAACTAGTAACTTTTCGTTAAAAGAGAGGAGGCCTATTGCATGTATGCTAACAATGACTGCAAAGTAATAAATAATGATGGTTGCTCTCGGTTTAGGTGTAGTGCGCTCTCTCAAACCGACTTTTGGAGCTTGTGCCTTCCTTAAATGAACACATCATCGAGGTCCCACTGTTAAGTAATTCAATTTGAAGGAGGCAGGATTAAAATGTAGGACAGTGGTGATTTAATAAAGTTTTTTTGCAGAAACTCACCATCTTAAATGGTATCTTTGAAGTATTTGCTTTGAAGGGTCGACGAAGATTAGCAGCACTGCTAGGTAATTTGGGTGTTTCTTCGTAAATTACATTCGCTAGCCTAAAGAACAAAAAGATTTATGGTTAATAAACGAGCACTGAATTTAATCAAATGATCCGAATTCTCAAGGTACAATTTGTTTGCTGACAAAAGGTGCTTTTGAGTGAACTGCAACGCCAATGTGCTTCGGTTCCAACCAGCTGAGCAGCAGAATCCTTCACAATTTGCTTCCTATCACAACATCTTGACGGCCTGCTGTGGCAATGTTGTGGTATCAAGCATGCTTCATTTCAACCACGATGATATTCCGAATAGGTGCTGCGACCCCTCCTGACAGGGTGCATGCAAAGCACCACTAGCAAAGCTATTAATTTACCTTCTTGGCGCCACAAAATTTCTTAACTAATTTACCATCAAATTCAATTTCCATTTTAAATTTGCAACAAGCTTGACATCCAATTTTTGTACCTTTTAGCGAACTCTCATTGCCGAATTAACGACCTTATTTTATAAAGTTTGAAAATGTAGCTCTGCCGGACTGACAATTTACTAAAAGTGCTATTTAGTACTTTAAAAGAGTAAAAGTAATTGAACGCCATAATTACCACTTGGTGTGCGTGAGTGACTAAATCAAACCTGCAGAATAAAAGGTCAAGCTTATAAAGACTTTGAATAAATCATCAGTTTTAAAGCAAAAAACTGCACGTTGGAAAATGGGAGTTGGGGAGAACTGACTTGATGAGAATTTCACCATCCCGCAGAGCAGCGGCTACCCTCTCCCTCCCCTGTTCAATGCTGGCTCCTGTTAGCTGTCCGATCCAGTCAAGAACCTCTTTTTCTACCTCAGGATTGTATTTTGTGTTCATCTAGGCGAAAAGTGGTGCGTAAACTTTGATACTAATTCGGATCTTTATTCAGCCCAAGTTGTTGTCTCAATTTTGTCTATACAGGAAACAAGCCTTCCTGAATCCGTGTTGGATCCTTTAATACCGTGCTTTGTATTTAAGTTTTGAAGTTTGGAAATGCTCTAAGATTTTTCCACTGCTGACCCATTTCGGCTGTTCACACTGACAATTTGTAAAGCATTTGCCATTCATATGCATTGACATTGCGGGAGTTACTCTCACATTTTAGCTATGCAATTTTTTTCTAATCTGACAGAAGGCATCACCGTAATGCAGATTTAATTTTGAAATAAAACTCCGAAATTTTGACAATAAATGTGCCAAACGAGTCGTAAAACCGAAAAAATGCCAAAATGTTCCAATTCTTTATGAAAGACAGGTTTCAGCCAATCGATGAGTGCTTTTGGTTCTGAATGAGGGCTCGGATATAGGACGAAGTAATGAGAGATAAAAGAAGAAATGCGTACTACGTTGGAACCTTCTACATTAGACCCTTACCCAACTTCATCCTCCCTTTCCAACTTTTGAAATACCTTCCATATCGCTTAACTTTTTTACTACAATGCACAATCGCAATAAATTTCGCCCTAAAAACAATAAAAGCCAATTGGGAAGGGACAGACATTTCTTAAGGGAGGCATTCCAGAACAGAAGTACGACGAGGAGTAGCAATTCTCTCTCCATGTAACGTCAATCACTTTGATTTAAGTCCTGGCAAAAGATGAGTAAATGTAAAGGATGGACTAAAGGAGGATCGCTCCACGTATTATTGGCTCAAATGTACCTCTTTCACTGAGGAAATGCAATTACTCTGCCGTAGGGGTGTTAGCGATTTGGAAAGAGAAACAGTAAATGTCAATACTCATGCCAAAACATAAAAGACAGCTCACTTTGACACTTGTAGAGCCTTTTACTTAGGACTTGGGTGGATCACGAAGTAGTAGTACAAGCAAAACTTCAATCTCCCTTGTCGCTGTGTCTGTACAATTTGATTGGCTCGAAACGCCCTTGACCTCAAATCGAACGGCTATAACCAATGGAATTCCTGCACATGACCGTGGGATTACAGAGATGGATGGCGTTGGGTCGAAGGAGGTCGATTTTCTCCCTTGAAAATCGTTCAAAATAAGCATATAACACTGAGTGTGGCTTCTGTATCATGAGACTCATAAGACAAACTTTTGACAAATGATTCCAAAAACCGTAGTACTTGCAAGTAATGAGCCATCAATCAGTTTGTTACGGTTATTTAAGTGTTATCTCATAAAAAACCACATAAAGTTGCAATTGTTAAAACTTGGCTTCATGCGACACACAATGTGTGTAGGTTATTGAGCATTTACTATTTTTGCTCAAAACTTTGCTTCACAAGTCAACACAAAACTGTGCTAACATCTAACTTGGTACGAAAGATTCACTGGTCTACAAACCACCTCGCTCCTCGGTGTTGCTGCCTACAACCAACTTTACTACTTCTGTGATGAAAAAACTTTCCACTTAAAAATAACGGCGATTTTAATCTCGCATTCATACAGCGCTTTCAAATGTTTTTCTTGTTGGTTATGACCGTGTTGACCGTAAATGCCACCAACGTGGAAAGAAAGTAAACATGGGACGAGGCCATCCGGTTGGAGCCCAGGATTCCATTCTCGCCAATAAGTACTCTCCCAACAGCATATGGATAAAAGCCTTGGTTAGTACCCCATTTGTACCATATTATCGAAACCCATATTTTCTCTCAACGTTTGGACAGATAATCAGTCGCTTGTGGATCACGCAATCAAATTCTACCTTTCCAGGAAGCTTTACAAAACCATTTTGAATTAGCGATCGGAAGCTTCAAACTCCTCTCAGTGTAGTTTGCATATCGACACGGCAATAGGCTCATTAATATTCGCCACTTTTAAATGTTTTGTGTTTTCTTTTTGAGGTCGATGCACCTCAGATGTTGAGACAATGCCGCCTTTTCAAACCTAATGTAAGAGATGCACCTTCCCGTTGTAGCCAGTGCGTTTGGCCTTTCCAGACCTATTATAACAACTGCAGCACTGTCCAATGAGGAAGGGGCTTTCATTAACGCAGGCCTCTGATTGGGCCACTCACAGATTGTGGCATTCGGGTGGTAAATGCTAATCGATATGGTCTTGTGACATGGACGCAACTGCCAAAGCAGGACAAGCACATGATCGAGGAAACACGACGTGGTTGCCTTAGTATCTGGTACATGAGCTAAATTTAAACCTATCAAGACTTTTCTGTCCTTGTTTCAGGTTCTGCCAACGCTTTCGAGGTCTTATTGAAGATGAGCGCATATGAATTTGGGTGAATTAAGTTGAAGGTGTGGGGTTTCAGATATCCTGCTTGACAATATTGAAGTGATTCGAATAACCCGTGCGAAGTAACGCGTTTATTGTTTAAGTAAGCCATTCAATCACTAAACAAAAGATTCAAGAAAGTATTCAAAAGCTTTCTTTGCTGAAGTGTAAAATCGTGTTCTCAAATAGTGCGGTGTGTTAGATCGAATGAATTGTTGAGTTGTCAGGCCTAAGGCGCATCCAACCGTGTATTTATCCTAAAGAAATGGTGGGGAGAGGAATTGTGATACTTAAACGGTGCCATGAAGCTGTGCAGAGATTTGTCACTCGAGTGGAAAGTCAATTAGTGCTGTGTTACTTCACGGTGCCTTTGTTAGAGTCGGAACAATGGGGAGTGGTTGGTACGCCTTGACCGCTAAGTGCAAAGCAAGAAAGGCCCGTTGATTGCTTTCGCCCCCGTATCACTATTGTACCATCTGGTCACAGAGGATACGGCCATATAGTCAATGGTGCCAGGTCCGTAGGGATGTACTGCATAATGATGTCTAAATATGATTGGAAAAAAATGTGATGAAAATGTATGTCTCCAAGTGTAGTCGAATTATTACTAGACTGGAACACATTTCACATTACTTCATTGTCCAACTCTTGAATGCAAGAGGATGCTTCTAGGAGCTCAAAAGAAGTAGCAGTCGCACTGCTACACTCTACACCCTCACACAGAATCGGCGCATAAGCGCTTTTGAACAGTGATGAAAGGCCTAACAACTGAGAAGAGAATTGGAAGTAAAGGACTAACTGAACTAAAAGCAATTTTTTACTAAAATAAAACACTTTGGTTGAGCTTTTACCGTACCAAGAGCATACATTATGACGTGCCAGTAGAGGAGAGTCGGCTACCGTCGGGGTAATATTTGCCTATGGTGGCAGGGATCCATTCAACTTGTTACGAACCTTGGAGTTCAAAATTTGAGACCACAAATTGCTAAATTGGTGCGTCTTTCGAGATCTGACAATCAAGGATGTTCATTCAGTCTAAACCTACAAAGGCTGCCGATAACATTACTGATTGTTGTACTGCTGCATGTTAAACTGGTGCAACTGGAAACGAGAAAGTGATTTCCTTGGGTAGGATCTTAACAGTCAATGAAGCAGTCACTCATTGGTTAGTCAATTCTGTACAACTCGACTCTTCCGCTCCCAAAGCGTGCAACGACCATCACTGCAAACTTCAAAACTACGACCTGATAGGAGTTTGGAAGGCTACTGACAACCTGATGATCTCCATTCAAACGGACGTGAATTTGCAGTAGCGAAGCTAAACTTTGCTCTCACCTATCTGCCGCCTTTTATTCGCTTGTTAATTTCACAACGGCAGCATAACAAAAAAACCTCTATTGTAGAGGTAGCATCTTTTGTTGCCCAATCTATTCGAATGCTCATTTACAGATCAAGTGTGACTGCATTTTTAAGTGAAAAGGTATTAACTACTTCCAAACTTTCACTTACCTTTTTTGAAAGCTATTAAATGATCTCTTCACTTTCCTACTCTTGGACTCAACGTACGTGAGGGTTATAAAGAGTTGTCTTACTTGGATTAGGAAGCCGTGTAGTGCGTCATGAGGAAGAGCCGAAATAATGCAGCCAACCTTCGATGAAGGTGGAGGCCTCCCATTAATGCGCGAATCAGGTTGTAGGAAACCCTACTCTTTCAAATGTTTGTCATGACCAAATGTTTTGTCGATAAGATCGGGTGGACAGTCAGTGAAAGGCTATGTGTTCACTTGTCTGCATTTTAAGCAAACGTAGTTATCGCTGAGGCGAATCATTGAAAACAGGGATGGAGAGTTTGCACCGATCTCGAACGCATTGTGAGGTAACAGCGTTGAGATTAGTGGTAAAAGTGATGGTGGCCAAAGCCAACGAGAATCGACATTCCACGATTTTTGTTTATGGGGAAGTGGAGTTCAAATCATTGTAATGCATGAGTTGTTCAAGAATAGAAATGCGAGTTTAAAATTTCACAAAGAGCATTGCGACGGGAAGCAAGCCTCAAAAATAGGTCACATTTGCAAGTGAAACTGTATCAATTTGCCGTCACCCAGAGACACACTACCAAATGCATTAATCAAAGGTAGTTGGTGGCAGTAAAGGGATTGAGAAACGATTATAAATTGCAGTAAGCAAGTTCAAGGGGGTATAAGGGTCCAGAAGCGTCTAAAGTGAATTTGCTATTGACTGCTTAAAGACAATGGCACACAGCACTTCCAAACCATCAGCACATCGGTCAGAACAATGCGGTTCTTCACACCCTCCAAAAGGTAATATATTCGGAAGGAATGCGCGAGGAAACTGGAAGGGGCGATTGTGGAATGACAACATAAAGAAATGAGCAGTTTATATGGTTTTTTATTACATTACACAATATTAGTATTTCAACTGTTACTTCTTTGTGCTCCGCCACTTTGGATAGTTCAATGCAGGCTTCTGAATGAGTGTCATTGTGCAAAAGCCGCGCTATGAATCACATTCGTCCCCAACTATGCCAAATTTGGATGACTCCCTATTGCCATCATCGTGACCGCGCCGAATGGCAAAAACACAATTGCACCACCGCCTTCCATAGTTTTTTTCCGTTAGGGGCGCTTTTCCCAATGGCGACAGCACCACAAATACCACAAGTGCTTGTCCCATTGAGTTTTCATAAGGCCAATCACATAAAACATCTTCACCTATTCCCAAAGCTTCTTTAAGAGTTGGCTTTAATTTAAAGCCTAAATAAGTCCCAACCGCCTTGCTGTATCTGGCAACATATTTCAAACTGCACATGTGTGTTTACATGAGAGATTGGTAAATGGATTACTGAAATGGTTAGTTGCTGCGACTTTTACTAACACCTTCGTTCAGTCCAACGTCCTCCTTATTTTTGTGCTTGCCTCCATCCCATTTGCTTTGGTTAATTAATGCATGTACGACCTCCTTCCACCAGCAACTTTTGCGCCAATTGCTCCCCTGGTCACAGAAACTAATGTCTACAAATATATTAATGGCCGAATGCTGGTAACTCTTGTTGTCAACTCGAAGTGGGCAAATGAAGGTTAGTTGAACTCACGAGAGGATACCACATGAGCCTCCACACCCACCTCCAATACCTTAAAGCCAGATTGATTATACAAACCTGCTCGTACTCATTCAGAACAGTCTGCCGATTGAGGAGAAAGTTGAGTACTATTAAAAATGCAGTTCTTGACTTGACGTCACAATTGAGTCGCCTAGACATGATAGCATCCAGCATTAATTAATAGGCGCTAATCTTAAAATCACTTCGCCATGGTACAACATGAAGGGTCAGTTTATTTGTTGATAAGTTACCCGGTGGTCCTCATTTTACTTGCAATTTCGGCGCTTAACCCACCAGACATGCCTTCCTCCCCTCTGCAGTGATGTCCTCACGGGTCTCTTCATACGTTGTAAGTTGGGATAATTTATAACAGCAAAAGCAAGAAAAAAAGAGGGAGGACTGATAGCATTCGAAAATAGCGTTAGTGCCATGTTTCCGAAGTGGAGACCTCAGAGTCCAGCCACCTCAAATATGCACTGTTTCTCCCACTCTTTTGAGGCAATAGGAAGATTAAAATTCTGCCACGTTTCGTTGCCTCAGTTGTTTTCAATTTCAGGTATGCAAAACAAAGATTGTGACAAAGAAGACGATGAAGGAGGACACTCTGCTCTTATTACTTCCCATTGGATTTATACACTTGGTTAAAATGCTTCCACTTAAAGGCATCTGCAAGAAAACAAAATATGGGGACGGGCTTTGTTGATGCATTTGTTATTCTTTAATAGCATCTACCACTCCTATAACACTTCTGGACGCCAAGACAAACATGCATGCAAGCCTGTCATAAGCGCAAATTCAGTTCATCTCTTCAATCAGAACCCGATCATTGCATGCGATCGCCGTCCCAGATGTAAATGTCTTTCCGATTCCAGAAAAAGAAAAAGCCATTCATTGTTACTTTAACGAATGATCGCCTAAATCAGTTACATATAATATCATCAAACAGAGATTTCGGTGGGATACGTTAGTTAAGTTTCTCTCATTAAAAATTTTCGATAAGCTAACTGAATCTTACGACTGGAATGCGATTGTCTCTAAGGCGGAGGACGTCCTACACAAAGCAAGGGAAGCCACTTGCTCTGCCGGTAAACGAGACCAAAGTTTTTTTTATTTTGAGTAGACGCTTACTACCCCAAACTGGTCCTCAGACGTATGTCAGCATTTTCAAGCGCTTTACTTGTAACCTTTGAAGGCATGGAAACACTATTTCAGTTATGCTCTATTATATAAATTATTGTTGCAGTCATTCGCTGACATGTTTTATTATGACAAGTGACTATCTTATTTGACCATTGCCACCACTAGCATGGAGTCTTATAGCATGGATAATGAGTCCCTAAATCCCCTCCTCCGCACCTCACCCTTGCTTTGATATTTTATGGCAATAATAACTGAAATGCTTTGCTTAAAGTCTTCATAATACATTGATCCAGCTTGACAAGGTAGTCGGGAGGCCTAAAAATCGCTCCAGCCTGGAAAGACTGACCAGCAAGGAAAGTGTGGGCGTTCGTAACAGTCTGTGCACGTGGAGCTGCCACCAGCACAGGTGTTATGCCAGCCCACAGTTGCCAGTGCCCACGCGCGCAACACAAGGGACGAGAGGGGAGAAAAAGAGGGAGATGGCATCCAGGGTGCCATGAGGGAGGTGGGTGGAAGGGAGTGGATCGATTAATAACAGTTGCCGTGTCTGCACAACCAATCTTTGCGCCTCGCCTACACTCTCGGCGACGATTGGGCCAGTGCATTACCGTAGCGAAACCTCAACTTCTATCAGCGCACTTTTCAGCAATCACCAGTCGGACGTGTTGAGAGTCAACTTCCAAAATGGCGAACCGAGCGGGGGATATGGGCATGGATGTACAGGTCAACCGTAGGGTAAGTCACCGTCGCGTGCAAGTGATTTGTATGCTATGAAGGGGGAACTGACAATTGGGCCACTTTATTGTCTGTCGACTGAATTACCGAGAGGTTAGGGCACCATTAAGGCGGCCCTTGTTAGTGGCCAAGTTAATAACTCGAGCTGCTATGCTGATGATGGAGTCTTCGAAAGCGCCTACACAGAACTGTTGTCCCTCCTTCCCCCCCCCATTTTGTTTAAGTTGTGAGCGAAAATTATGCTTGATGGAGTTAAGACCATATTATAGATTATTGAAAGCATTTGCCTACAAAAATTTCCTTCTATTACAATTTTAAGTTTGAAGTTCCTACAGTTGGTTTTCGAATCCAATAAGTGCTAAGGTTTAATTACTTAAAGTTAATTGGATTTTACCATTTTTATAAGTTACAAAAAGCCTGGGAGTTGGTTTGTTGTCGTCATTACTGCGTGGTAGGATAAGATTTTCCTGCACGATTTGTTTTACACGATTTATCCAAGGGATATTTGGAGAACACCTACCACTTATATGGATGGCCATGGATTCAGACGTGAGGGAAGGGAAGGGAGAGTTGTCCTTGTTATAAAGACCCTTGCATACGTCTTGCTAGGCCTTTTCTAGCACACCTGGTGTCCGGAGCTCTCAAAGTGCCACCGCACACAGCATTGTGAACGTATGTACAAACTAAAAGCATCAAACTTCTGTGATGCATGTATCAACGTCTGTCTGTCTGCCTGTCATACTTTGGTGTTTCCGGGTTCGTTTTTGTATCTTAGCGGTACTCAAACAGCATACAATATTGCCGTCATCGGACCATCAGCCAATTTTGAACTTCCACGTTTCTCAATTGTGTGTGACTTTTGCTAATCACTGCAGTAAAAGTGTTGACATGATTTTAATATTTTGGTGACATGTTAGCTTCAGAAGAACCTAGTCAATGTTCAGTAAAAGGGGAATCAAATACAAAGTTTGATCAGTTTGGAAAGCCAAAGTGGAATGGGAGTCGATGTGCTTCATCATTGTCACTACAGAAAAAGGCCATATTCTTACGTAGAGGTATGGGAAAGAGAATCTTAAAGAATTCACCGCTTTAACTTGAGCTCAACGTCTCTGAACTTCTTTTTCAGTTGAACAGCAGATACGATCCGGACACGGAAAAGGAAGTTATTCAGTGGGTCAACCAACTGACCGGTGAAAATGTGCCTTTAGGGAGGGAGAATGTTGCTGCTGCCCTCAAAAACGGTCAAATTCTTATTAAGCAAGTTAAACCAGTCAAATAGAATATTTTGAGTACTGATTTTTCTCCCATTTGAATCAAAGCTACCTGGAAATGTTAAAAGTAGATTAAGCAGACTACTATAAAATCAGAAGGTTTAAAGTGCTGACGGCAATCTATTTATAGGCGTACTGCTAATCCCTCCACTATTCTTCTCTGTCAATTTCTTCGTGCCTAGCTCCAATTTCTCCACAATGTTTATACGTTAGATCATAGATTAATAAGTTAAATTGATCCAAATTCCCTAAGCAAAGTATTGAACCCTTGTTGGTACAAACACCACTAAATTATAACTTTTAAAGGAGGAAATTGCCCAATTAATTATTAAGACTAATACAAGTGAAGGGTCAAAAATGCAATAAAGTGTGATGCATCGAATTCCGTTACTTTTCTTGCAACTCATTTCCGTTGTTCTTGAAGGCTGGTGAACAAAGTGTACGAAGGCACGAACCCACTCCCACCCACAGTCACGAAGAAGAAGCACCCATTCAAAGCCAACACAATGGCGGCGCCATTCAAGCAGGTCAGTCACCCTTCCAGGCCTTCGATGATGTACGCTACTGAGCTTGTTTCAGCGCCTTGTGCTAAAAGAGACCACCATAGTTCAAATAATGTTATACCAGACAATGTTCACGCACGCTCTCGAAACGGTCATCAGCCAGCAAAGGCGCGTACTGCTACGCAGTACCGCTTCAACGCTGGAAAGTGAAGTTGATGCAAATGCTGTGCATCTTTGTGACTTGTTGCACGGGGAGCAAACATCATTCTCAAGATTGTTAGTCCGAAACTTTGAGAATATAATGGGAAACATCCTGTGTCTACAAATAACCCAGCTGCAATACTTTATGCATGCGGTCACTCCTTTGCTAATGCGCTCTTAGTCAACTCTGAAACGAGTAAGCATACTACTACACTGCCTTTGCTATGATTTATATCTATTTACTTCTCTACGTTGAATCGCAAGTTCCCCCAAAATCTTACCTCTTATTTATTAATTACCCACATCAACAGAATCGCACAATGCGTCTACAAATTCTCTCATATTTCTCTCTAGATGGAAAATATCCAAATTTTCCTGACAGCTGCTGAAGCCTACGGAGTGCCTCGGACTAGCCTCTTCCAGACTGTGGATCTCTTCGAGATGAGGAACATGGCTCAAGTTCTCAGCTGCCTCCTTCAACTCGGAACTGAAGTGAGCTCCAACTTTTTTGTTCTCTTACTATCACATCGGCTACCTTGGATCAGTGAGAAGTCATGGGATCAGCCACATAGACTGCAAATACCGTTACGCCGAGCAAATTTTCCCCATTACAAACACGGCCACGCTTCTAAATTCCCTAGTGGGGTGGTTCAAAAGGGTCCTAGGACGCTTCGACTAAATCGGGGCAACGACCCAATCAAAATGTAGTCCATTCTAACGACCAATGGTAGAGCAGCAGGGACTACACATGCTAATGCGGGGGCGGGTTGTTTAACCAATGGCATTGCAGCAGTGGAGGAACGCCATTGATCGCTTCAATTAAAAAGGCTTTTATATTACACGATCCGTCTGTGCCTTTATTACAACCCTCAAAATTCATGCGATCCAGTTTTCGATGTAGTTCTCAGAATTTATTCACAAATCCTAGTGCTATTGCCTTCTTTAATTAGTTGTTTTCTTAATGCTTTTGCCCACGCTCTGGGGCGTTATGCTAACGAACCTTTCCTTTCCATTCCTTAAACTATAGATTCAGTCTGTCTTTTTTGACGTATTTTAAATGTACAGGAATGAGGTATCCGTACTACCTGCATGAAATCTGCTAAAGATGTAATATAAATGGGCTATTTTTAAACAAGCAATAAAGTGGGCCTATTGTTATTATGCTCCTCAAGTGATGCTTGGCAGACTGGAAATAGTTTAGCAATGGTCGCTCTTGAGATCAAGCCTATCAACCGTTATCTTAAAGACGCTACTTTAAGTAACACGTAGTGCTTTCATTGTATTAGTGCCAGCGAAACAACTTTAGTGGACCAACCTGTGGACCGAAACCAACGTACGAAAATAAGCGTGAGTTCACCGAAGACCAATTGGCCGCCTCAAAGGCTATAATCGGTCTGCAGGCAGGCTCAAACAAAGGCGCCAGCCAGAAAGGCATGAGCATGGGCGCTGTTCGCCACATCGCCGATATAAAGGCAGATGACTTGTCAAAAGAAGGTCAGGGGATTATCGGTCTACAGGCGGGCTCGAACAAAGGCGCCAGCCAGAGCGGAATGGCCATGGGTGCGGTGCGTCACATTGCGGACATGAAGATCGGCGAAATGTCGGATGCTGGTAAGACTTCGCTCAACCTCCAGACGGGCACCAACAAGGGTGCCAGTCAATCAGGCATGGCCATGGGGGCAATGCGTCATATTGCGGACCAGAAAATTGCAGAGATGACGGCTGAAGGAAAAAGCACTATTGGTCTTCTGGCCGGCTCAAACAAGGGTGCTAGTCAAAGTGGCATGTCCATGGGCTCCGTGCGCCACGTGGCCGACCTGAAAGTAGATCAAATGTCCAAGGAGGGTCAGAGTGTCATTGGTTTGCAGGCGGGCTCAAATAAGGGCGCCAGCCAGAGTGGAATGGCCATGGGAGCAATGCGTCACGTGGCCGATATAAAGGTGGATGAAATGACCAAAGAGGGCCAGGGTGTGATCGGATTGCAAGCAGGAACCAACCAATTTGCGAACCAGTCAGGAATGAGCATGGGTGCTAGACGTCATATTGCCGATATCAAGGTTGGAGATATGTCGAAAGACAGTGCGGGCATCATAGGACTTCAGTCGGGCTCAAATCAAGGCGCAAGCCAGGCTGGTATGAGCTTTGGAGCTCAACGGCACATAACTGATGTCAAAGTGGGAGAACTAGAGTAGACGCTTTCCAATTTCATCCTTCGTCCTCCATACGTACTTGTTATACCTTTTCAACATTGCGACGACTTGCTCTTTTGCCTGATATTTACTGGGATTTTCTTTTAATTTCGCCTGCCATAATTAACTACATCTTTATCCGTTGAGAGCTGATATCACAAAGCCTGCGACTTTCGGGACCTCCTGGTATTTTCTGAATCATAAGAGGAAATATATGGCATACAAACTCTCGTTTTGCTGTTAATTTTGCTTTCGAGAAATTCGATAAACCAGCATTGATACCAACGCATCTAAATTGTCATACGTTTGTTGAGTCAAAGTTGATGAAAGTCTCATTGATGAAATCACACAAACATTTGGATTGTGAAGTATTCGTACTTAAAGGTAAGATTATTATTAGCAATTTTAAATCCTGCCGAAAATGAAGGAAGGGGGAAGGAGGAGAGGCTGAACACAATTATCGTCTTCGCAACTACTGACATCAGCAATGAACCAGTGCATCTGGTGGACTCACAAATTGCTTAGCGAAAACGAGGTGTTACAAATCAGCACTACGAGGCTTTTCGTCTTTAAAGCAACATCATGAGGCCCCCTTAATAAACTACCATCAACCATCATGCTGTACTTGGGTTCCCAGGTCGGCACCCGCGAGACAGTTACGTCGATCATCAACCTTCCATTCAAATGTCACTGACCCTCTCGGTAGTCATACTTAATCTTGGGGCATATGCATAACTAAGTAGCCCATCGACAGTAGCAGGGACATGAGCAGAGAAGTTGAACCATGTGATCGAGGGCATTTTTTTGCTTCCAGTCTTCTACAGTAAAAATAAGAACGGATCGGATCCATTTTTAACTGCCTCATATGTAGGGTCCAAAAATGTGCATAAGACAAAGAGAGACATAGTGCTGTCACCATACATAGGAAAGTGAGTATGGCATGGGCTAATAACGCGAGCCCTTAAAGTGGAAACAAACGTGAATAAGTTTCATAGTTAAATTTGGGGAAGCAGGTAACACATGTGCTTAAGCGTTAATTATTATAAATAAGTATTCTTAAAATAACATTAAAACTGAATCAATGCTCAAAGTGGAGCATTTACAAAGATGATAGTCGAGTGTCAAGCCGCATTATTGTCATTTATTCACCAGCCTAAAACAGGTCAACTAGTCAGCTAGATAGAAGACCGAGCGGTCCTTAAGAGAAAGTGATGCAGTTTATCATCACTTTGACCCAGCAGTCAGGTCAGCTTTCCTAATGCCATTTAATAACACAGGCCTGCCTCCAGGTGGAGCGTAGTTCGTTTCTAGGTTCCAAGTAAGGCCGTCCCCGAAACTGACGCGTTACAGTGGACCTGCCGAAGGTAAGAGTGGAGCTGAATCTAAACACTTCGAAAGCATGAGTATGTAATGGTCGACGCTGCTGAGGGACGACTAGACTTTAAGAAGGACATACTCCTGCAATAATTGGCACTTAGCTGCTTGGATGTGGAGTTGAAAGCGTTGCTCAGATGTGGAGGAGGCCATACGTCGGCGAAATGCATCGTTTAACTATAAATAGGAATGGTATTGTGAGTCCTTAGACTTCCTACCGGGTAGAAGAAGACATAAAGTGGAGCTGAACACATGTATTTCGGGGAGAACAAAGGAATTGAACCTGAGATTGGCCCGAAGACCCGGCCAAGCATATGAGAACCGACCGAATTCTTAAAGTAATCGTCAAACGTTAGGAGGCCACATAAACAAAGTATTACAAGTGCATTTGGTTGTTTGCATAGCGTCATCATAAGCTAGGCTGGACCACGCCACCTGCCTTAACTTTTTTTGTTCTCTATTAGAAAGACATATATTCATGTTTTCTTTAATCTTCAGGCCTTTAGGCCAACTCAAAAATTTCTCCCTTTCCGCCTCGATATTATGCATTCAGCCCTATTATTACCTTCGACTTAATGGAACAGCTCGAGATGTCACACTGGTAACTCTGGAAAGCGAACCCTTTTATGTCTTCCAGCATTTGGGACAAACTTCATGTAAGAGCTGCCTGCCTACCCTCTGGCCCTTGCACCTCAGACTTCAAGAGAGTTGGTTGCAGATGATTTATTTGGCATTTGTTACAGGAAGAATGAAGATTGGGATATAGATGAGGCGAGTAGGAGATATCAACTGAAGAGAGACTCCTCACCGTCTTCGCGCACGTGAGTCGCGTTCCCAATTGGTTCTCGACTCTCTCCCATAAAAGTACACTTAAACAAACTAGTACATATCACACAGCCCCCCTATCTTCGAAGCATCGTCTCCGGTGCTGACCAGAAGGGTTTCATCGGGCGGCTGCCCTTTTTCTAATAACGTATAGACTTCGTCTTCGTAACCTATTGGGGGCGGACCCGTATATGGCCTAATCTTGTTATAACGTACTGTCAGAGGCCGAGAAGCGATCCCCAAATTTCGAATGGGGTAATTAGCGGGCGACATAACTTTGATTATCGGGTAGGATTCCTTTCTCCAGGGGGGGGCGGAACTTCCGATGGGTTCCTGGCGGGGAGATTGGCCTACACAATTGCAACAAATCGCCCTCTTCAAAGACGCTTGTTCGTTTCTGTCTGGCGTATGCTTCAGCTGTCTGCGCGAGGCGTCAAACACTTTCCTGAGGTTATCCTTTAGTCGCGCGTTAGCCCCTGCCGATCTCTTACAAGGAAGCAAAATGTCGGAAGCGACTCTCATTTCATGGCTCGTGGGTATCTTCAATGATGAGACTTCAGTCGAGGTGTGAGCGGAGGCTCGGTAGGCGAGAAGGGCCCGTCCTAGGTATAGACCCCAATCCTCGGGCTGCACCTCTTTGGTATAGGCCCTATTCGAAGGGAGGGATGTCGACCGGAGCTGCCGCCAATGTAAGAGCTGCCTGCCTACCCTCTGGCCCTTGAACCTCAGACTTCAAGAGAGGGTTGGTTGCAGATGATTTATTTAGCATTTGTTACAAGAAGAATGGAGAATGGGATGAAGATGAGCCAAATAGAAGATTTCAACTTGAGAGACTCCTCACCGTCTTCACGCACGTGATTAGTGTTCCCAATTGGTTTCCGCCTCTCTCGTATAAAAGTTTACTTAAATGAACTAGTATATATTACACTTCAATGGTGTAAATGAAGTAAAGTACGCATTCAGCCTTCCTTGATGTCGTCTTCTAATTTGTGGGAAGTCTCAGGACATTACATTGCCTGAGAAAATGATTAAGTCAAGGCTTAAAGATAAAAGACAAGCAGGTTTCGGATAAAGAGATTCGAGCAGAAAACCTCTAAAGGGAGCTTCAAGAGAACAGCATCACATTGACAACATAAATTACTAACCTGAGTTTTAATGATCGCAAAAAAGTTTTTTGTTAGCATTATTACATTTTTAAAATTTTTCATTGCTATATTTGTACAAAGCTATAATGCGTTTGAAGTGTTTTTCATGAATTAGCAGTTTGTTTTAATTAGTACTATGGTTACTCCCATATTGTGTTTTGTGTTAGTACTCGTCGTTGCCAGTTCGTGGGTCTTGAGTTGGAATTTTGTGCAGGGTCATAGTGTAAGGAATGAGTGATAGCGCAGATTTCGAAGAGGGCGAAGTCGATGATATAAGCGATTTTGAGGACGGCAATCCAGGCGACTCCGGTGCTGTTTTTCCCTTGGGTGATGGCTCGTGTGATGATTCGCCATCGCATAGAGGTGCTTCTCATGGTACTTGGCGTGAGGCCTATAAAAACAGGGACGTAAGAGATATGAGTTTGAGTCATAGACACGGAGAAAGAACTAGAGAGTCCTTATTGAGGTTTTTGTGTGATGATGAGCCCGCTCCTCGGCGTAAGGTAATGTTCTCGAATTGAAAACTGGTCGGTAGGCCTCTGGCATGAAGCGAAAGAGGAAGCGACGCGAATGGGTTTCGGGTAGTGGCGAACGGTCTCAAGGGACGAGGCAGGACAAAGCGAAGTGCAGGTTCTACCTGGAGGGTCGCTGCAACAAGGTTGGAGAACTTTTACTGCATTACTTCTTAGGGGTCTGAGTGTCCATTTAGTCACGGTTTTACACCAGCCAAAAAACAGGAACTCTGCAAGTTTTATGCGACTGGTGGCTGCAGCAAGGGATCTGGATGCCCTTTTCTCCACGGGGAGTTCCCGTGCAAATTCTTCCATTTATCGAAGAACTGTTATCATGGTAGCAACTGCAAGTTTTCTCATGAGCCTCTCACCTCTTCGACACGATCGCTTTTAGATAAACTCGTTGATGATCAGGTAATGGTTTTATTTGATTGACTAGGTTTAGAACCGCAACTTGCGTTCCACGGAGAATGTCAGTTTCAATCGGGAGGCTTCGTCAATTTACGCTTCGCCCTTGAATCAGTTTCCACAAGGTGCATTAACAGAGCCCTATGGTGACGTTGATTACAGGCACATGGTTCATTCGGGGTAAGTGTGTTCTTGCCACCTTAGGACCTTCGTTTTTCATTACATGCGTTCCTTCACTCCTTACAACTATCTGAAACGTGTAACATCTTCCTCAGCCGTAGTGTTGGCTTCCACGACCGTGCTTTAAGCCATTCTCCAAACGTCTTTTATGTGCTTAGTCGCGTTCTCCTGTAACACACACATCATCTTCGTTGTCTCTAGTCTCCGCCATGATTCATTTTGTGGGAATTTAAACTTTTTGGTAGTTAAATGCCGATTTGGAAGGGGTCAGATTGTCTACTTAAATGTTTTACAGTACGATTACTCTTGGTTAGTATGCTACCGCAGTTGATCCTAACATGTTTCTGCTCTGAACTTCGTTACTTGAGAGGTCAGTTTACGATTGCCTCTCAAATCAATGCTCCACGCGAGTGACGGTCTGATTTTAGTCCAACTGGCATGGGGACGCAACCTGGTGTTCCTTGTGGCTTCCAACCCTCCCCGCAGACGGTTGGTCGCAGACCGCCTCCAGAACCGCACCCACCACATTTCCGGCGTCCCATCGATGAGGGTCACTTGCGTCCAGCGCTAGGGTACGGTGGACCTCCACCCTTCCGTGGGCTGTTCTCTCCTCCTTACCGCTTCCATACGGGAAAACCATTCCCTCTACCACATCGGCCGCCATTGGCGGGTGGCAATCGCGAGGCTCCTATGCCTTATCCACCACTGAGATTCCGGCCCCCATATCATGACGGTGGTGGGGACAACTTTTACAACTCAACCAATGCTGATGATTACCTTCCCGAACAGTCCAATAAGATTACGGTAGATTTCGGTTTTGCATGTCAAATTAGAAGTCGTTCTGGCTTCCATATTGCATCAAACTCCGCTTATTCAGTGTATTCAAGTTGTAGGACGTTGACCTGTTGAAATCCGCTTTCACCAAATTTTGGGATTCTGTTACATCTTACTCTAATCTCGATTTTCTATAGTTTTGCAACTACACGAACTAGTTGGACTTCGGTTAAGCTATATTTATCGACTATTCTCCAACTTTATAGGATTCAAAAACGCAGGAAATTAAACCCCCCAGTCCACCTCCACCTGGATCTCCGGTAGACGACCACCGCGAGATTCCCCCGAAAATGATGGTTAGTAAAGACATCGTTGTGTACTTGAACGAGAAGTCTAGCGCAGATACCACCCCTGTGACTTTCAAATGGCATATCATACCTCTTGAGTTCGACAAGAGCCCTCGTCAGCTGCCTCCTTCGGCGGCTAATGCCAATCCTTCTGATCCTCGGCTGAAGGCTCGACCTCAATTGCAAGTTCTATTAACTATCCCTTCTGTTTCAACTGAGGAAAAACAATCGGAAGTGAAGAATCCTCCCCAGTCGGAACGTAGGAAACGTCCGAAACTCACATTGAATGAAATGGCAAACACGTTCGCCAAAACAGGTCATCGAGTGCAGTCGAAAACGCCAGTCCTTTATTCGAACATACTGGATCCAAGATTATTGAAGCGACAAAAAGTTGAGAGCGAGGTGGCATCGCATGAGACTGCCGCCGAAGAGGAGCAGTCTCTTACACCCAAAGCGTTGCGAGTCGTTTTCTCGCCGTGATGAGCGAACTACCTTTTCTACAGATTTTTATATTAAAATCGGTACCTCAGTAGTCGCATGTGCGTAGAGTATCTGTTTACACGGGTACCCGCGTGCATGCCAAAACCGCGTGTATACATTTTAGTGACGTACTGTATTTTTAAGTGTCACCAATTATGATCATGATTCCTAAGATGATAACGAGTATTTGTACTTATAGGGTATATTTGAGGCAGGAAATATGAAGGGTAGACACGATTCGAGGCAAAGGATCACACCTGAAAGCTCCCATACTGCTGATTCCATGATAAATAGTGTTGTAAATCGCTTGGAGAGACGCTTGCCTTCACGTGCTTGAAGGCCATTAGGAAGTCGCTCATCCGAACTGGCGGGACCTGAACGTAAACGAAATCACTTCTGAGCGGAAAAAAAGGTAATGTTTCTCCTTTAACGTTGCGTTTAATTCAAGGACTGGAGAATCCACGCCGCTGTATTCTACTATTTGCGTCGCCAGATTTAGTCACCACTCAGACTCAACTTACGTCTTGGCAAGAGATTGACTGAATGACCTCTAGCGGCAATCCTCGAATGGGACCCATAGCAGCCTCCCGACAGAGATTAGCGACGTCAGCACCGGAAAATCCTTAAAAAAAGTTTGTTGGGTCTAAATGGTCACGCGGGAGTAAATACGGTCGCGCATTCAGTCCAAGATTGAAATTCGATCACGAGGATGAGGTACCTTCAGATTTGGCCGCGACTGTGTCGAGGTCATCCGGTGTTAGGCTATGTTTTTGCTGTCGGATGAGCCGGTCTACTATCTCTCTCCTGGCTTGTAAGCAAGGGAGAGGGATGTAAAGCCGCTTGACGAAACGCCTTCTTGCTGCCTCATCCAATTCCTGAGGTCTGTGGTAATTTCATTTAAGTGGTTAGGTGGGGGTATTGCAGGCTGCATCTTACCGGTTGGTCGCACCAATAAGGAGAAGCCGATCCTCGGATCCGGTAGCCACACCATCCTAATGGGATCAAGTAAGCTCATCTGAGGATACGCATGTGGGAGCAGGTACACATGACCAGACTTCGATGGACTCACCAGCTGAACCAAGAACTCGGTCTTGATACGTCGGCTCGATTCGTGTTCCATTTCGCTGCGCTGGGAGAGAAGAGAGTCGATCTCGTCGATAAAAATGACCGACGGTTGGTGAATGCGAGCGATCGTGAAAAGAGCCCTAACCATTTTTTCTCCGTCGCCGACCTTTAAGAATTAAACAAAACTTTGGAACCACAATGAGGCCTCGCAAAAGCGAATGTGAAGTCCCCGAATTGGGGATCGAAAACAGCGACGAGGTTCGCCTGTCGCTAGCTTAATTGATGAAAAAGCAAATAAATGTAAAACGCGGGGAAACTTTACATCAAATCGTAAAATAAAAATGCAAAAAAGGATTGCAGGTAATTAAAGTTCATCCAAGTAGGATGAGCTGAGTAACCAGAATGGGAGTTTGTATTTAGCAACACTCAAATACAGTTATCCAAAAACAGGTTGTAGATACCCATTTTGAAGTAAGAGAGGATGCGCTGATGCTGAAGAAGGTCGACTGACTCGTAGAGGCAATACATTTCCCTAAACAGAACTCAAATTTGAGAATGAGTTGAACTCCACTAGTAGAAGCACAAAGCTTGCCCAAATTTATGCCTTATGAGCGTAGGGGAGCGGATCTGCACCTTGTCTCAAACTAGTGTTTGGACGGGAATTCGCCTAAAGGAAAAATCAGGAATAGCGCACCGATCAATGTTTTGCCCGTTCCTGGAGGTCCAAAGAGTAGCAGGCCCTTTGGTGGACCCCGGAGACCGGTAAAAATATCTCTGCAATGATACGATGGTTAGGAGTACAGCGAAATGGTGAGATCCTTTGAACTGAAAACCTGCCATTTCGTACTTACGGACGAAGCATAGGGAAGATAACAACTTCTTTCAATGTCGATTTCACACTTTGCAAGCCCGCTATGTCATCCCAGGTGGTTTTCGTTTTCGAATCCATAATCTAATAATTAGAGAGCAATTTGCCAAGACGTGGTCGCATTTGGCGAAGCAATTTGAAGTCTAGTCCCAGTGACAAGGGCAAGGCATCAGGTGCGTATGCACCAATTAATCCAGAGCTCCCATTTCCAATATGATGCAAAGCATAGGGCAAGGTTTGTTAAAGTTTCAGAATTATTGACGTTTTTTGACTTCGATTATTAGCAAATCAAAACGAACAGTTCGAGATCTATTATGCGAGATGCCTCAGTTCATTAGATTACTATTTCTAACAGTTATACGATTGGGCAATGAATATCATGAAGGCTCGTCTTGCCTCACTCATGATGAGATCGATGATCTTCTGATCGAATTGTTTAAGACGCTCATCCGAGAGGCCGTCACTCTCATCCTCTGGAGTCATTTTTGAAGATGGAATCAAGGGGTTCGGTTGACGGCTGGAACTGGAGTCCGTTGCCGCTGTCTGTGAAACTTCATTACTTGACCTCGTAAACGGCGGCACAAAAGCTGTGCGTGAACCACGACTGAAGCGGGAAAACAACGGCGAATAACGTTGGAGAAATCGATGAAATGACCAAGACTGTTAAACTATGTCCAATGAACCGGTATTACCACTGGAAAAGAATAAAACGAACTACAGAGCTGACTTAGTTTGTTGAAAAAATATCCTGCATACCACGTTTTAAATCTACCCACGCAAAGGCAAGTACTGAGATTGAAGACGGTGAGTGCACGTGAAATTCATCCTTCCCAAAATAGGCGCTTCAATATACCGATACGTCTTTGAATTACTAATAAAACTAGACCAGTGACAAAATCTTTGAAGTGGAGGGAGGGGAGGGAGAGGGGACGAAATACAGTAGTTGCCTACAAATTTAAAGGAAAATGTAGAACTCTGAATTTGATTACACGGAGAAATGCCACCCTAAACGTGACAATGACTCACCCGCCCAATGTCTTTCGTGTGCTTTCCGACCTTGACACCGCAGAACCTGACTGTGCGGACTGTTGCACCTGCGCGTTTACCAAAAGCTAAAGGATGAAAATGCGCTTTCAGTGTATTTAACGACGTCCTCATGAAGTGACACTGTATCACTTGGTGGGGTATGATCCATTCGTGATTCAGGCTGCTGCAGTCTCACTTTAAAAAATCCGAATAACTAAAATGGAGCACGTAGAAAATCGCCACATTTCTTTATCAGACTACCTGCCACTGTTGTACAGTAAACATGCTGTCAGCATAATGAGAATCGATTAGCACAAAGGAAAGTAGGAATAAGCGGGTAACGAGGGTGAACGTTCTCGGTAGAAATTTTGAAACTACTTAGATAAGAAACGTACCTGCTGTCTTGCAGTGATAAAAGTTGGTCTACATTGGGCAGGTTCTTCTGATTTTGACGATGGCTGTGAAATACAAGACTTAGATTTACTAACACGTTCGAGAACACACTAAATCAAAATCGTGATCCTGTGTAGGTATTCAAGGGCAGATAATTTTAAACTCATTTATTATGCATAGAGTTGTCTGTTAATTGTAACAACTCCGATGAAGTTCGAAAGCGCCATAAGTAGATGAGAAGAACCATGATATATGGTGGAGAAAGAATGGATTAAGCCTCCAGGCCCTATGAAACGTGTTTTATAAAGACTGGTAGTTAAGGGTACTCGTCTGGTTGTGCAGTTAGATTGGACCCTGCGCCTAGGCTATGAGAGGTAATGCAAGTCCACAATATTCGCAGATATCATCCTCAATTAAAAGCAATTGATAATGTGACTGTCTATGCGGCCACCTGATGTCTAGCGGTTACGTTGGCATTCGTCTAGTCCTTGTACGCGTGGGCTTGCCTTAACGCCAAGCTCAAGTTTGACCCCTTTTCACTCCCCAGACTACATGTATTCGGCCAAACTTAATAACGTCTGCCTGAAACGCTACAGGTGGCCAATCAAATAGCAGTACAAGAAGCTTAAAAAGTAGACAAAGGACTCACTAGCATCAATAAGTAGATGCACGAATAAGTTGAGCAATAGGAGCAAAGCTGATGATACACATCGACGCGCGTCAATGTTAAATGGTGGATTCCAATAAGGTAAGAGGAATTCAACAAATCCAAGAAATTTTCAAACTAGTTGAGGTGAGTTTGCGCCAATGGCGTGCTTCACCGGTTTACCAACGAAGTTTCTCAAACTACATTTATCTACTTTTACCTGGAAAGTAAATGTAAATTTCAAAATCCATAACTTATGGGATTTAAAATGAGCCAAGCATTTGTTGGTACAAAAAGACGAGATTTCTAAAATATATCCGGTTATGCTTTTGAAGAATGTCAAAAGCGAACTTTTACAACCCACTTCAGAAACCGAAAATCAATTTAACATACAGCCTAAACATAGAAATGTGAATTTCTGGCACAGCAACTACACAATGAGCGCTTCAAAACCTATAGGACAGATAATAAGTTCAAATCACGTATACGCACAGTTTTGCAGGTAAGAAAGACTACACTTGAGGAACACAATCCAAATTTGAACAAAAAACAGAAACACTTGGAATCAGGTTCAACTTCTCTTACCTTGGCAGACGGAACGGTGTCTACATTGAAGAGACTAGTACTCTCCCTCATGACGGGCTCACGCGAGATTTTGGCAAATTGAGCTTTGCGATTTAACAAAGTGCCGCCTCGAACGGGTGCTCTCACTACCAGTTCCTACAAGAATGGCGTCCTATTAGTTTATGCACTATCCAATTTGCAGTGGTTTTGATTCGCCACAGAGCAGGTGACAGCCAATCCTGCAATGATGGGCGTAAAACTCACCAACTCCGGTGCTTTCCTGAGTACTTTGTCAATGATATTCTTAACTAAGTAATGGACACGTGATGTCAGATAAACTCACGCTGCTCAGCTGTTGAGGTGGTAATGTTGTGGATGTCAGCCAAGGGGAGCCCGTAGTCTAGTAAGGGTTCCTATCATGTTTGACAATTAGAGCTAAAATCACCTCCTTAATATGATCAAGTATAAACTTCACATCAAAAGTGCTCCTCCACTCAGGCGTGCCTGTTGAGCATGAGAAGTGGTGAAATGAATTACCAGAGCCGTCATCGTCACCATTTTTCAGCACTTCCTCAGCAAAATTATTTGCTCCTAAAGGCAATATTAGAAAACCGTAAAGGAACAAAAGGAAAAAGGGCAAAGTTTAGATGCCCCATATACTGTTAAAAAGTTAAACATAGACTAGAACATCTATAGTTCTAATTGGCCAAGTAATTAATCAATCAATCCAATGCTTTCTAAGGTACTTGTTGCCTTAACACAACGCTCCAAGGTAGCATCTATACTGCAGCAATACAACATACATACAGGGCGAAAGAAAGCAGAACAAAACATGACTTTTGGAAAGACCACTAGGTACAGAGTTATGCAGGAGTAGTTTTTTTCTAAAACAGTCGCATAACTGAAGTGAATTGAATAAGTAAATATGAAGAAACGGTGAAGGACCAAGGGAGACTTATGGCCTAAACGAATAATCATGGTTTAAGAAGGCGTCTTTGAAAACACACCCATAAATGTTCAATAAAGTGAATACTGGTTTCCAAATACTTGTTAAACTGCTACGCATACAGTATGTCAAACCACCGGCTCACCCGAAAATCCTCCATACACAAAACAAGCAAAGCTTTGAGGCATGAAGTCTAGCATAGAAAAACCCAAGTGCAAGCTACACTATATATGCACGAATATAGATTGATAGGTAGTCACAAAAGCCTGATAGATAATTACCGTCTTCGATGCTGTCTACATAGTACTGATACTGCCGCAGAACCTCAGAGAACGACACAGAACTAGCAAATAACAAATTGGTCATGGACACCACCTTGACGGTATGTGTTGAAGAGCTTGACGAAGTAATTCTACACGCGAGCTCCTTACTGAGGACAGCTTTCGCCAATCCTCGAAAACACGCAAGGTATCCATCGCTTCAAAATACCCGGAATACGGAATAATTGGCTGGATCTATATATTTAAAGACATTATCCATATTAATCTTGAATTACTTCTACTACAGACTGGTTACACTCCCGGTCATTTTACCTTACTAATCCTCTCGCATCGAAATTTAGTTTGGTATAGAATTGCTTTGCAAAATGTGTGTAATACGTTTTAATGTTAAGTGTATGTTCGCCACTATTCATTGTTCTTGTTTTGCGAACATTCCAGTTCGGTGGTAGGGTGAGATATAGACAATGCAAAAACTACTAATATTTTCTTTTAAAGTGTAAAGTTAAGTTTGAATCTATCGACTATTATAGGCGACTATGGCACTCGGCCCTTTGATTCAAGTTGCGATTCTGCTCTACTTCGGCCAAAATGCATTTGGTCGTAAGGCAGGCTGTTAATTCCAATGCATTTCGGCTCTAGCGCGCACAGCTGTCTTTAAGGGTTGTTTTAACATTCGCATCTTTAGCCTCGATTGTAGCACATCGCTCGTAGGTGTTGTTGCTGTGATATTTTCGACTCGGTATCTGCAATTGTCTTAATGAAACTCTCTGCGTACTTCTCTCCTATTTCATTCTATCATTCAGTTTTGTGACCTACTAGATCTTTCTCTGTATGAGTTTATTTCCTCTACTGCTCATACCTTGTTCAGCAAATACTTCACATTTTCATTAAATCTCATTTCACGCAACAAAATCCACATTGCTAAGTCCACTTTCAGTCAAGTATGTCATCTTGGCACTGTCCCATTTTCTTGTTTGTCATTTGATACCTTCTCCGTTGAGGCCTATTAAATACCATCTTATCTCTACCCATTGCGACACTACTTACCCAAAAGTTTTTGGAACTAATCAATCTCTTAAGGCAAATGGATTCGACCTGCGTAGTAACTTTAATTGACCATTACATTTCTTATTCATTCTAATCATTGGCTTTGTATAGTGGTATTTTGGATTTGACAAGGAGGCTTTGCACATGAGTGCTCTACAGATTAGAATTATGGCTGTTTATTGTATTGCAATGAGTTCTCTGCTATTTTTAGCTTGCTGCTTTTCTGAGTGGGTATGGTCACTGAAAGCTTGGAGCATCTAGATCTCTCTAATATTGTCAATGACTGCACCGATCACCGTTTGAATGCCCCATTAACAACTGATGAGCACCCAGCCATCAATGAGATCCTACTTAATGCTTCATCACTGAAGGAACACGAGGATGCGGAGGAAGAAAGCATTTTAAACTCGTATAAGGAAAAAATATGTGACCATAGTGGTCACTCCTTTTATCGGAAGTCCTTGGGTACACCTGCATACTGTCACCATTGCGGTGAAGTCATTTGGAGTCCTCTGAGCACTGGATTTGCGTGCGATGGTATGGTGATCCTCATATAAGTTGGGTACTAATTACTGTTGTTTGTTTCAGTTTGCAATTTCCTTGCTCATGAGAAATGCTTGCGTGATATTGTTACTATTTGCCCTTCTCACGCATCTACTCAAATCCTTGTAAGCTTTACTTTGAAGGTTCTACTGATGATTAGGCCATTTCTATGTTTACAGTTGTTTTATAGACGCCAGTTGCTCACTGCTGGTCTGAATTAACGTTTTTTCGCCGGAAATTTTGCAACGTGTGCCGCACAAGACTGAGGGATACACCTTCTTTCCGCTGTGAAGGTATGGATAATTGTTTCGCCCCTCCATCATTTCTGCTTTCCCACAAATAGTTCTCCTTCTCTGTGGACTCCTCAACTTTTCTTTGTCCTCAGTGTGCGAGTACTATGCTCATTACGATTGTAAAGAATTTGCGGTCAACGACTGTAAGCAGGGTGCTGCCTTCAGATTCCAAAGGAATAGGGTTTGTTCATGCATGTTCAAGCCTGTGTGGTAAAAGACTCGTCTTTTGCTTAAATGTTTCGAATCCATGTCTGCATGAACTGTCGTGGGCTTAAGCGAAAGTGGGATTAGGCCTTCGCTTGCATGCCGAAACCCTCCAGACTCTCATTCTCTGTTCAATGCCCCTCTTATGCTGTTTCAGGAGATTTTTATTGTCAGAAGAACCGAGTGTTGTACATGCGAAATTTATAAGCCTTCTTAAATCTGCCATTAATTCACCTTGAATAACAATGGTGTAAGAGAATTTTTGCGATTCCCGTCACCCGTACTTTCATTGATTTTCCGATTATAATCACCTCCAAATCCATATTTAATGGTGGTAAAATGCTTAATCTGGCAGCGTGTTTTCTTGAATTCGCGTCCAATTATCCCTCCTGGTAATGTGGCAGGCGTAGGCTCCAAGGCATCAGTAAAACTTTCCTCTGCTTATGCTTCATGACTTTGGATGAAACTCGATGAAATGTTCGAGGAAGTAAGGAAGTCATTCTTAACGATGTGAACTAATTTCCCGTTAACTTTGCTCCTTTAAGGCAGGAGATCTCAGCCAACCATATGTCCCCGAGGCTGGATGTCAGTTAATGTGTTGGCGATGCCTTGCATATGCATGGAGTCACGAAATCCAGTATATGGTATCATGCTTTTTGATGGACTAAGGAGAGGAAGTGTAAGTAATACCGTATTACTTTCCTCAACACTTGCCTGTACTTAAGTTTCTTAGCCACAGTGGGCCATTTTTGGATGGCAAGAATCGGTGGTAGTTACGTTTGAAGGATAAAGGGTGTTGGTTTCACCCTTTTTGGACTTGCCTTAGCTGCTGGTTGGCGTGAAACCTGTGTTATTAAGCGTTATGCTTGAATTCATTATGAAATGTTGGATATTTGTAACACCAGTTCGCCTAGACATCTCACGAGTGGTAGCACTTCCCGTCACCACTTCTGCTGGCCGGCAAACACAAACCGACACCTAAACTTGGTGAGAGATTTATTATTTGGTCACTTGTCCAGAAAGCATACGTTCTCTACGTACTTCTTCTCACCTCTCTACAGAGGCTCTTAATGCCTTGCTGTACTTAAAGTGATTAGACTTGATTTTACATTTAGCTACTACTTTTAGTACATTTTGTGCTGGATACTATGCCTGATAGAAATGGGGGTAAGCCACATAGTTTGAGAATTATCTCGAAATCCCAAATCCCAATGTTTTATCACGGCAATCTTGGGAGGTTTTTTTAATCATTAAGTGGAAAATTGGTAGACCTACTCTTTAGTGCGAGATAAGGTTTAATAACTTCCGTCTCAGCCCTCCATTGAGGTGATACCGATCATTTCCTTGACTGCCGTCGGAATAGGCATATCACTGCGCCTGTAAATAGGCTATCTTGTTAAACATTTGGATGTCCTTTTGCTATTTTGTAGAATCCAACCAGTACTTCACACCACTGGCGAGAAGGTAACCTGCGGTCAAGTACCAAATGCTGTCTCTGTAAAAAGCTCTGCGGGTCCTCCGAGTGTCTGACCGGTTATCGTTGCCTTTGGTGTGGTGCAACTGTGAGTCCTCTAGTTGACACTGGAATTGAGCTAATTATGGGCGTACAACTTCCATGTGTTGATACTAGTATAATTTATTATTTAGCTAAAAATCAAATCAAGGTTGGGATGTAAGCTAAGGACAGAAAGTCGTAAGAGCCATAACTATTGGATTGCTTCCGTAGGACTGAGATTTTGGCTTCTATAGTTCAAGCGTTGCGAAAACATAAATTTTCAATTCAGTAATAGTTAGGCTTTGTTTGCGTCAGGGATAGATTGCTAAATCAAAACCCACCGTTGATAAACTGATGGACATGAGAGTTTGAAAGAATACCGCATGGTGGTCAACTCACTTCGACTTCAACTGTCCTTGTTGAGGTTGATTAACAGCAAGTGCGCTATTCTAGAGACGGCTATTGCCATTCGTAGCCAATCGAAAAGGAAGATGTGCTGTAGTATCTCTACTGCAACTTAGGGAATGTGGATGTTCTCCTTATTTCTTTCCTTCAAACAACCTACTTCGCACCATTTGCTCCAATTCTGCTAGGAAGTTGATTAGAACTGCTATTCGTTATTGTATAGCGTTCCACTTCAGGTGCACGCAGGATGCTCACGAAAGCTGCCTGCGCAGTGCGATTTTGGACCTCTGAGAAATATCATGCTGCCTCCGTGGGCTGTTAGCCTCCCACGGCCTGACATCCCCTCTGAATACACAGTTGGCATTATGCGTCGACCCCAGAGTGAGTAAATGCTGATTAGTCTACCAAGTATGCAGAGACGACAGTCCTTGGGCGATAAGGCGGTGTCATTTGTCACTTAACAATTATGACTTCCATACATTAGTTTTGGTTTACAGACCCAAGCTATCCTCTTAAATCGGGCCTCTTATCTCAACATGGCAATATAACTGGCATCGCTTGGTAAAAGGACGAAACTTGATTTAATGCTTATTCTGACTTTATCAATGGAACTGTATTAGTCTGATACAAACAAGCTTGGCTACAGAGTACTATTTTACAATAAATTATGATTGGAGTTGCAACGACTTAAGACAGAGGTGTCGTGTGAATTATTTATTGTTGTTAGCTATTTAAAATATGTATATATTTATGTAGTGACCATTGTGTGACTTTCGTGCGATTCACCACGATGACTTGATTCAACTTGTAGTGATATGCCATTGTTTATGCTTATGATTGAGGATGCGTTGCTACCCAATTCTCTTTACTTGAAACAATGAAGAAGCGTCAGTTAAATCCAATGGATGTCATTAGATCTTGCATACTTTGCGAAATGCATTTAACTTGGGTCAGGCGCTGCATTAGTCTAGCACAAAATCTGTTGCATTTCATTCGGTGGAGGTAGGATCACAGGACTTACCGCAAGGACAACCAGTTCGGAAGGATTTCTTATTTTCGATAGTGTCGATCTGCATTCCGCTCTTGATCCAAGTAACTTGATGTTAAGGTGATGGGAATCGTATTGGAGGCAAAAGTAACGTTCAGGCGCACAAAAAAGTGATTAATTTGTTGCGAAAACTGACTCATCTGGCCGAAACATTTCCTTTTTTAACAGATGGCTAGAAATTTCCTTGCCTTTACCTTAAACTTTCTAATGCGTCCTACTTCAGATGTTATTTGTGGGCTGACTGCTTTGTGAAAGGAAATTGCTTTTGAATTTTGTTTCAACATTGAGCTATTGGCCTTGTCATTGATTGTCCTAAAATGATTCACTTGCAACACCGCTCCTCCAAAGCACCACTTCATCTTCAAAAAACACGTCGTATAGGTTGCTTATGACATTGCACGCACTGAATTTCTCCCTGACAGGCAAACAGTTGCACCGATACACTTGATTCAAACGTATTTCAGAAAATTTGTTCTGCAGAAGTGGACAGAAAGTTATGCTAACCAATCACTCAAACCAAACTTTGGGGGTGGGGAGGAACTGCTTCACTCGTCTTGTTTGCTTGGTGGCGCTTTTTTAATCTCAAGTGATTACAACATTTTCTTGAAGCTCCACAATAATGTACAGTGAAGAAGTTGAAAATGAATGTTGGGGTTGAAAAGATGGTGGTTGGGATCCTGCGAAAACAATGTTCTGAGGAGCTTTCTATAGTTGTTAAAGTTTGTTACACTCATGATATCACATCGTCTGGTAATTCGCAGGCCTAACATGATTCGACGTCGCTAATTCCCTGCGCAACCTTCGAATTAGCAGCGTTGTTTTTGTTTTCGGGCCATGGTGTCTTTTGTCTGAAGCATACTTATTCTCCCTTATTCCTGTAATCACTCTTAACATTCTGATTACCTGGAAACAGTGACGTATTCTCGATTTATGTTTTTTTTATTACCTTGAATTTGCTATGCTTATTTGGAATAGTTCATGTTTTCATTGATTACTCCTTGTTGCATGATTCACGTAGTTTGTTCTTAGGATTCTAGAGTCTTTATCCGAATTGGAGTTATTTTACCACATCTTCGGAGGTTTGTTTTGAAGTCTGCTTTCTATAGGAAGCATTTTTCGAGGTTGCACATTCTTTGCCGCCTGCGTAGTTAGGGGAAAGTTTTCCAGGAGAAACCATGAAAGAACAGGCTTTGCGTCATGAGTAGACAGAGACTCTTTCAAGACTCTTGCACGGTGAGCTCCCAAGTATTCAATCCTTGGGATGCAAGTCGCAAAGATGGAATGATAGGTGAATTTAAAAACTTCGTACTGTACCTTTTCACGACCCGTTTTTCCTTGATCTGTTGTATTCCCAATTTTGAAAATGGGCACTTAAGTACCGTTGTTAATATTGCGTCAGTAAATACAAAATTATGCTTTCTATTGGAGATGTTATTTCGTTTCACATCATTTTGAGTCTTGGGGGCGAAAATTAAAAATTTCCGAATTAAAATATTTGACAGAGGAAAAATACGTTCAGTTAACTTTCTACACCAGCTCATGTTTTTGTTAATTGGGAAACTGGAATTTCTCGCCTTTAGAAACATTTTTTTACACCATCCTTTTTCGTCCATTCTGTTCAAAGTGATTTCCTTTTTCACTTTTAATGATGTACCTTATTTCCACTCCGAGTGTTTCAATTTCTTTATTACTTTGAGTGCCTGTGGTAGTAGTTATAAGCGTGGTCAAAGGCTAGGCCAACCTACCCCAAGTTGCAGAACCCATGGCATTGAAATGGTTTGCTGAGAAAATGTGTCAAATGTTGAACGACGTGGGCGATAAAATTGAAGGGCGGACTCCTCTCCAACCCGCTCGTCGTAACATGTGCGCATATATGCGTATCAGAACACGCTCATTGGCTCAAGCAAGATGAGGTCTCATTAATTAGCGATGGAGTGACGCGCGGAACAGCGTAGGCGACCTTGGTGAGCGCCGTGCATTGGCTGGACACTATGTTCGGTCAAAGTTCGTCTGCATGTAAAATTACGAGCCTCTAACCCCGCCTTCCTCTTTCTTTGTACCGTTACTCCAACATCCCTGACCCCTTATAATCAGCATCATTAAGTTTGTTTCTTATCACATGAAAGGATTTCCAACTTAATTCTGCATGGCTTTGGTAAGAAAATAACCAATCCTTATTAGATTTTTCCAGTTGAATAATAACTTATAGTAAATAGATGGGTAAAACAAATTTCTAGCCTTGACCACATCCTTGACGCCCTCAAAACCCTTTCTGGGGTATAAGGTGCTGTATTAAATGAGATCAAAGCTAGTAGAGTGATGCAGGACTATGCAGTACATTTTGGTCGTGCATATATCGTCCACAGAAAATCCTTAGGGACATATTGCAATACTTTTGCTCATTTCCAACTATCTGCATTTTCCGCTTGACCACTGTACCTATTCAATGCGGGAATTCGGAAGAAGATAAAGTTCTGTCTGAAGTTTTAGCACATATCTTACTCCCGTCTTTCTGTGCACCCCTTTAAGTGAGGCGCGACGGACACATGAGGATTGTGTGGAAAATAAGTGTTCCTTCCCGTCTTACCGTAGCACTGAGGTTTTACTGACAATCTAATTGTTCCAAGCTGTTCCATGGTCGACATTGTTCTGTAGACATGTTAGCTGTTACGTTTCTCAAGAACTTAATTACATCTTCAAGCACACTCACCACTCTAAATGGCAAAGTTTGTGTCTGAGGGGAATGACACATTTGGTTCTACGGAGGTGTTGTTTCTCGTGCAAACGCTTACGCCAACTTGACTAAAACATTTGGGTCACATTTTGTAAATCTCATGTTTCGAAGCTATCTGTGAACTCATAGCATTCTCATAGTTAACTTTTTTGTCCCCAAAATAAGTTCTTTTCCCCGAATAAGGTGCTGGGTAAATTAATTGACGAATTTCATCTATTTTAGCCCTTTTACTCTTTCAATTTTCTATCTTTTTGACAACACAAATACATATATTCTATGTTCTTTAATACTGATTCCTAAGACGGTGTCTATTCGGCTAATCTATACGTCTTCTCAAGTGAGATAGGAAACGACTTACCACAATCCAAAACCTAGGCTTAGGTGCATTCTCAAATGCTGGACCAATGGTTTATCGCGTTCCTTAAGGAGTTAAGTTGTTGGATCGTCAAATCGCCCATTATGATGAGTTTGTGAAATTGTTGAGTCTTTGGAGTTTTTATCTACTCTTCAATACGCACAAATACTTTCCTTTATTACATGGCAATCAATGATAAGAGACTTCCTCCTCTTCCTCCTCTTAGTTCGTACTTTCTACGATTGCTGGTCAAGTAGCGAGGACAGTAGGGAGGAAAGCTGCCGCGATTCTCGTAGCACTCGCGACTCACCTGACCGAGACGGCTTTGATGGTAAGTTGTCTTATTCCTTCATTAAACAAAGCACTCAGTGGAGGAGTGGCCTTGCCACCTTTTCCACTCTTGTCATCTTTTGATTAAAACTAACAGAGCAGGCTACTGGCATGCTGCCTAATGGTAGCGCGAGTGGAGGCGATGCTATACGGTTTGGATTGTTAATCATCATCCTGGAGGTGTTTTTTGGTGAAGTTGCTGATGATTGCTTGCCTCGCGCACGATTCTGACCTCATCTTTTCGTCATGTTGTGAGTTAATAGGTCTGCCCTGCTTGTACTCCCATTCGTGCCAAGTGGAACTAAGAAATCCCATTGAATCCTTAGCCGGTCAACCGACATCAAATCTATAAAAAGAACTGAATACGATGGCTTTTATTAACTGTTTTAATGTATTTCGGTCATCCAAGTTAATTTGCGATGAATTCGATATTGCTTGACTATCACCTTCCATTTCTTATTTATACATCCCACCCTACTTGATAAGACTTGATAAGACTTTTTAAGTGTGAATTACGCAGGCAGAAATGAGGTTACCTCTTCATACCTCATTGGTTTTGTCCAAACACTCGTTTTGTACTCAAGCAAAACTCGATTTCATTCAAAATTACTTTTTAGGCTGTAGAACTGTTACTACTTTATGGTGATTTTTGACAAATGTCACTACTTTAGTAACTTACCTATTATTGATATGGGATGATCAAAAGATTTATTGCATGAACCTTTTAAATTGTATCTGAACTTGTCGTTTCTTCTATATCAAGAGTTGACTTTCATACTCTCCTCCCGGTTCCTTGTTTCGGTACTATCGATGCTGAATCATCCAAGTAAAATTCGATAAAGAAGTGAGATTGACTGATTATGACTCCCCTTTCACATGCTTTTAAATGCAAGTGGTCCATTTTTTATTATTTTTTGATGCAGATTATGCCTGTGCACTAGATGGCGAATATGGTTTAACGAGCCGGTCATTTCGGAGCTTCACTTTCTCCAAGGCCATGTCAACTGAAAAGGCCATGAGTCAATGCTTGAAGGCTTTTTACTTGGTTGGCGACCCTAAGGACTACACACTCTACGAAATGAACGAAAAAGGCATGTCCCCTCATCATCAGCTCTCACTTAGCATTTCTAACATCGTTTGTGCGTCTGGCGAATAAAAGAACATGCTTGCTCTCAATTTTAAAATGAATTATTTGAAAGTAGTGGCTAACTCTCTATTCCTAAGTTAAAAACTAAATGTGGTTGCACTATTTTTATGCTTCCGATCACGTCACTTGCTGATTTTCGGATCTAAACTCCGCTTTTGCTTTTCTAGATGGGAATGAAGTGAAACTGGACATGAACGAAGACTTCAGAACGCAACTCCGTTTTGATCCAAAGCGACCAACCCTAATATTTCGTCGCGAGTGCTCGGAGGACCCATATCTCTCAAACATCAGGGTTTACAGTGGCGATCTCACGCATGTCACAATTTTGTCACCGATAGAATACTATTAAGCTTCAGCCTCAGCACAAATTCGTTTCAAGTTCATTTATCCTTAATGTCATTGCTAAGAATTTAAGTAGAAATGCTTGAAGGAAGTCTTGGAAATTAGTTGCTACCTCAGTTTAATGACACTGATCGATATAAAGCATTTTATTTTGTCGGTGTTCTGAGATTTACTGTTTCTGCCATTTAACTCGTCTATATTGATCTTTTCACTGTTTTGTTTAGAACCGAAGACTTGGGACAGTCGGTGGAATTGCCCTTGAAAGAGAGTACCACCGCCCAAACCATTGTCTTTGACGCAGTTCAAGCCTTTCAGAAGTTGACTTTCACCGTGAGTAATCTGTATGCGCTTACCCCATTGTCCTGGCTTTGAGAAAGATCAGAACAAATACCTTTTCTTGAAGCTGTATGATCTACTTGGTTGCGGGGCCGATGGAAGGGCTTAGTGAGTACAGTTTCCGCTTGATAATGCAGGTAAATTGTAAATTTCCTTTTTTTCTGTTCAGTTAATGAGCAATCAGAACCATCGCATATTCGCATATGGTCTCACTGACGTTCTTTTGTGGTCTGCTTCTCAACCTTCACTCCGCATTCACGCTCGCGATCAACCAACCCTTAAATTATGCATTCGAGGATAAGTGATCGAGAGAACAAATTTCCTGCCATCAAAAATAAAGTAGATTTCTCCATCCGATTGAGGTGCAGTTTTACTTGAGCATCAGTTCTCAAATTCCAGTTATTGTGATAGGTGTAGTTTGTTGGTGCTGGCGCATCCTACATGCTCTACATGCAATTTATCGCCTTGAGACTGGTTTCACTTGCTCACTTTTCATGGGGACTCACAGTGAGCCTTTTCTAATCCCATTTCACTTTCCCATCTGCTTTGTTCCTTAACTTGTGCGCTTGGGACGATTTCAGCGACAACGTTAAAAGGAAACTCCAACTTAAGGATTGTTGGCCGAGTGATCAGAATGAATTGTTTTCAGGTTGAAGCCACCTGAAGGATCAATGGAACGTCTGCGGCTCAATCGTTCCGATTGATTTAATTCCTTTTTTTATTATCGTAGGAACTTGATTCCTCGCATTTGCGACTGACGATGATGTCGTTGAATTTGTGTGTGAGTGAACGCATCCTTGACCCGAATGACCGTCCATGGAACCTTTTAAACACACTGCGTGCAGAGTCTTGTCGGTCTCTTCAACTCACACGCTTTTGTCTACGACGTCTCATGGAGGTGACTCCTGCAGATTCTTCCTTGTCTTCCACCGCCGCCTCCACAGTGCCTCTCTTTGTGGGAAACTTGAAGGAAAACCTCTCCCAATGTATGTACGAGCGGTTGCTCACTCGAAAGTTGGGCGAACAATTAAAATGGGAGTCCATTGAGGTCATCTACTACGAGAGTGGTTGCCTCGTGCTTAACTTCGCTACCTTCGAGTTAGCAGAGAAGGCCTACGAAAAACTTCGGGTTCGCTCAGCACGTTTCCCTTTTCCTCTCACCACATCACCTAAAATCTACTTAAGTTTGTGATCTGTAGGTCTGTTGCTAGCTACTTAAATAGGCTCTATCTCTAGCTGGTTGATAATCCATTACCTCTGCTAAAACTATATTCACCTGTCTTTAATCCACAGTTACGTTATTTTAACGTCTCAAATTTTGCTCATAATAAAAGTTAATAACGTCAAATGGGTGTTGGGATGCCTTAGGTACTATAATTCGTACAAAGATTGAATTTATTGTTTTAGACAAATTACTAATCTGTGAAATGTTGCTAATAAAGGATGGAACTGAAAGGTTTTATAGCCGAACTGACCCACCTGTAGGCAGAGCTTAAATAGAGCAAAAGGTTGTGGTTATATGCAATTATCTACTCGAAACTGGTTTGGCGGAAAGGAAGACGGAAGCCAATAAGTATGTAAGCGGTGTGCCTGGAGGCGAATCATTACATGAAGAGCGACAATTTCAAAATAGTCCCTTAAATCTGTTTCCTCGGAGTAGTGCTACCACCTTGAAGCCCATATGACACCAGTACACTGCATCATCGCAGCTCAAGTCCACTTGATTACTCCCACGTAGGCAGTGTCACTGTTTTTAATGAAACTGATAACACGCAGAGGTTTTCGCCATGAGCCGTGTTTCTGTCCGAGAATACCATAGAGATTTATGTGGAAATGCTTAAGGGGTGAATACTTGGATGACAGGCATTCACGTTCATCAGTCTGCTCAGTCGAAACAACATCTGCGCATGCTTCAGCTGGTTCAAAGGCTACATTCCGAGGATCTTTTCATTTGTAAGCATTTGCGCCACTTTTATTAGCCTTGGTCATATTACGAATACCAAAGCATGTAAATTATCTTCGTATAGTTTTGATCAATCAGAACAAATTCTGGAATGCTTGAAAGGGTGGATTTCTGAAACTATCGCAGAAACAGCTCTCCGAGGCCGCAGTTGAATTTAAAAACCGATAATTTATCTGAATTGGGCATAATTGAGGCATTCATCGAATAAACAGCTTACCTTCATCTTCGTCTGAGAAATTTGCGTAATTTTAACTCATGGGCTGTATTGTGTCCAGCTCAGCTTCCCTGTTGAACACTCATTGGCGTTCACTGATTCCACAAACTTATCCTCCTTAGATTTTGCACTGCATCCCTTATTAATTTATTATTTTTCAGTCGACATTCGATAATCGTTTCACCAAGAGCTTGTGATTTGGGCAATTTAAGACTAGTGCGCTTGAATAGTGAACTCCTTGCCACTTGGGTCTATTTAAATCGCCATTGAATGTGTTGACCTTCACGCCTTCTCCCATGCTGATTGTTCGACTCTTTCAGAATGCTTATATAATGGAGCGACCGCTGGTAGTGCTGATACTCCCGAAAATCCAACCGCACTTCATTCCAGTCGGTGTTCAGCCCCTTCTTGTTTTTGTAAACATCAAGTCCGGCGGATGCCAAGGCATCGAGCTCATGACTGCCTTCCGATGCTTGCTCAATCCCTTCCAGGTATTTCTGCACTAGGTGACAATAATAATGGAATAATGAATCCCGTAACCAGCGTCGAAGATTTCCTCAATTCACTGTCGGATTATTTTGCTACTTTTCTGTCCTTTGCCATCCATATGCACCATCGCATTTTTCTTCATAACGGATTTCGAGGTTCCAAAAACGTTTAACTACCTTTCTATTTACTCTGTTGCCTATGTTTCTGGTAAATGTAAACATCAGCACCTATCGCTAACAATTGGACGTATACCCTAATGGTTGTCACAGCTTCTCATTAGGTAATCTGTTCAACGTAGTGGTAACTGTATCAGCTTAGAAAGACTTTGAAGCCTTTTTGCCTATTTGATCAATGTCCATCAAGAGTTTTCAAGCTTGCAAATTACACCCTATTGAGGAAATATTTGGCTAGCTAATAGAAGTAGTGCTGTTTTTTTTTCATATCTAGACCAAATTGATGGTTTCAGATGTTTGCTTACACTACTGGTTTCATTAAGGATTTTGCATATTATTTTACTTTTTTTAAAGCGCCATTCCTTTATCCCCTCAGTTAAGTCTCGCCCATGGTGGGAGAGGTGAATGTTAAAGAACACCTTAGAATTTAGTGTCGGTGCTTCAGGAGTCATCATTAAGCTGTATCAGAGTTTGTAAGCTGTTCTCTACGACTTGTTAAATAGTACTGACGTACGTGCGCTATCCTAGGTAGATGAGACCGTGTTGAAGAAAATGGAATTAGTTGTAATGGACCAGTGAGTGTCTACAACTGTTGCTTCTTCCATTACAGGGTAATTGTAGCATGAATTTTTTCCAAGACTAAAAAGCGAAAACGGTGGTAAAGTGTTTCCTTAAACTGCAAACTGAGTTTTGTAGACGCAGCAACTGGTGCTTATGTTGTGATAGGTTTTTAACTTGGACGTGGGAGGGCCACTGCCAGGACTCTTCTGTTTCCGCCAAGTGGCCTCCTACCGGCTAGTGGTATGTGGTGGAGACGGAACAATCGGATGGACGCTTTCCTGCTTGGACAGCGTGGGGCAGGACGCCGCATGCCACTCTCCACCCATAGCTCTCCTACCCTTGGGCACTGGCAATGATCTCGCTCGCGTTCTCAACTGGGGTGGAGGCTACTCTTCCGCGGAGGCGCCCCTTCTCATCCTCAAAAACATTGTTGCCGCAGAGGAGGTTTGTCTTGATCGGTGGGTTTTTCCTCCCTCTAAGTGGGCGTTATGACTTGTGCTATCTATTCTCTTTTTTCAACCCTCATTTATCTTCTTCAATGTTCAGGTAGCCTGATTCGAATACAATACTTTTAATTTCATCCTTAGGTTTGGTCGCTACTTTCCTGCACTCGCCTTGATGAGCATCAGATAACCAGTTCAAAAGAACATTGATTTTCCTTCAAAGTGGAAATACTTCACGGTGTTTTAACTCTGATGAGTTACTTTCGAATAATCTAAACTGAAAATTATTAGTTACTGGCTTTTTTCATCAGAGACCAGTATATTAGTTATAAGAAGGCATTTCATTTGGTACAGGTGGACGTTGGTAGGTCGATCAGATGAGGAGGTGAAAGATGAGGTGAAAGCAGCTCTACATATTCAGACAAACTCGAAGAACACCACTGAGGACAACTCTTTCATTGTTATTATGAATAATTACTTCGGCATTGGCATTGATGCCGATCTCGCCCTCGACTTTCACAATGCGCGCTCCGAGAACCCCACCAGGTTTAACAGTCGGTGGGTTTAAAGGATTGTTTTCTGTCCATTTTGAGTGATGCTTATTGCTGTATTTTGATTGATTAGTATTGCGTTTAGTTAAATGCTTAAGTCGATTCTGATGGCAGTCCTGATTCACAGAAGTGAGTTGACGACTCGCAGTCTTGATATCGCATTCGCTTTGCAAAACTATTTGTGTTTTACTCGTAACTTTAGAATTAAAAATGGTGCCACGGGGTGGAATATCTTAAGTGCCATTTATAAGTAACAGTAAAAGAGGCGTATTTCGTTTCGAAAACTGAGGCTAAATTGTTTGAGTCACCCCTGATGATGTCATAAAAGTAAGCGAAAATTGAGGAGGTAATGTGTACAGAACTCCGTGTCACCCACCCTGCAACTCTAAGGATTGGACGATAAAATCGTATGCTAAGGAGGTCGTAAATAGCTTCAAATAACTTCGCCTCTAGGTAGTGATTGATTGGTTATCACTGCAAAGGCGGTCACGGCAATCTGTCCATTTGATGTGTCATATCACTTTTCTACCAAAATTATTATCAGGATCATAACAACGACAAAGGCGTGAGGTAGCCACGTCGATAAATTAGTGATTTGCATATCATTGAGACAATGACTTGTTCAGTTGGAAGACTGTAAATTGTGGCCTTTTGTTTAAATAAATTATGTAAGCGGTTAGAGGTAAAGAGTTGTTATTATCAATAAAAGGGAACGTGGATTTGGGATTTCCTGATAGGTTCCACAACAAGTCGGTGTACTTCAAAATAGGCTTGCGCAAGATGGTGAATAGGTCGACCTGCAGGGACCTGCAAAAGAAAGTAGTAGTGGAGGCGGATGGCAAGGTGCTTGATCTGCCTTCACTGGAGGGGATTGTGGTGCTGAATATCCTCTCATGGGGTGGGGGTGCCAATCCGTGGGGCCTGGACAAGGACGAGACCTTCGCTCGACCCACGCACTACGATGGTCTCCTTGAGGTGGTGGGCATCTGCGGCGTCCTCCATATGGGCCAGATTTATTCCGGTTTTCGCTCAGGCATCCGACTCGCTCAGGCCGCTCACGTAAGACTTTCAGACATCTGGGTATTTCAGAGATGAGTCAACCCATTGCGGTGAGCTCTTTAATCGTAACATCATTCTGCAGCTTTTGTGTCAGTTCATTTACAGGTCGAAATGGATTAAAATAGTATTATCCAAGGGTATTGTTTTGGATTATACGCCTAATGTTGCTCGATTCATCTCAAAACCACGCCTTTTCAATCCATTAGAGACTCACCAGCATAAAGCTTCTCCGCTAGCGTCAGAGAGCCCTTTCAAATCGCCATACATTCCTGAGGCAAATAGGATTTGCGAACGATTTTGTCAAGAGCGGAATCTGAATTTATTCCCGAGTGAATGTTTTCCCTCTCAAATTCACTTTCTTCTCTGTAATGCGTGCTTTCAACAGTCCTCCGGTCGTGATAAAACTCACTAGTTTTTTTCTCGAACCCATCGAAACTTAAACTGAACCCACTCTCACTAAAATTATATGTAAAATAATTGTTATAAGAGTCATACTTATTAAAAGCTAGCTTATTCCCTTGCAATTTGGTTTTGAAAAGGAATGCAGTAGATGTAAAATATTGAGGTGAATCGGAAACTCTGACTGTATTTTTGTATTGTCGTTCTGCCTATTTCGGCTTTAGAAAGCATATACTAACCTCGTGGTAACCATGCTCTTTCCTGCTGCTTCATAGACGTGGAAAGGAGCGTCCCAACTCCCTAAATGCTATTTAAGATAAAGAACTATTAACTTATTCACGAAAGTCGGCTACATGCCAAATTATTGCACCATCAAGGGACGCCATACCTTTATGAATGGAAAAGGTCTTTTCCCCAAAGTAGCAACATCAAAAGACCATTCTAAGGTGTTGCTCACACCGGAGTAGTTTTTTCCTCGCAGTTATCAGTCCAATACAATAACTTTCTCGTAAAACTTTCCCAATAAGTTATTTCAGTCCGAAACTGTCTGAAATGTTATGATACTCATATTTCGTTGTGCAATTCAGCATGCAGATGCAATTTGCTTCTGTGTTTATCGCTTATCACTTGTGAAGTACTTACCTCACTAATACCCTGTGGAGGTGTGGCTCTAGATTCCATTCACTCAATCAGTAAGTGAGATCAGGAGTTCCGTAGCAAACTGACAGTTCCCACTCTATTTGCTTCGTTGAATCTGTACTAAATGCTTTGAATCTATGGACACCACGCACCTTTGAAAAATAAATTGCTCACTCCTTAGGTCTCACTTCATTATTTCTTTTCGCTATTGCATATTTATTTACTCCCACTCGGACTTCCATGGCCTACACCTTTGTGTTAGCTATTTCAACGCCTCGAGGTTGCTGAAGTTGGCTTTAATTTTGGGAATTTATTGCCATAACCATTCTCTTTACATAACAAAATTCATTCAAAATTAATATCGCCTTGAATGCTGTACTGGACGCTCTGGCGCAGAATTCCCTCCCGATAAGTTCGTCAAATTTAGTAGCAATTGTTTTATGCCATAGCTACCGGTCGTTTGCTTGTAAACACTCAATTTTATCTCCTTAGCTGAAGATCATCTTAAAATCGGAACTGCCAATTCAAGTTGATGGAGAACCTTTTGTTCAACCACCTGGACAACTGACAGTTCTGCGCTCAGCTTTGAAGGTGAGGCCTACATTATTTATACTGTGCCACACTAACCATTCACATGCGCGTATGCGGTTTTCCTATGCATGAGCATCCTCATTCGGTTATTGTCGTGTCAAGTAAGCTGTTATTGCATCTGCCACTGGAAGTTACAATGTTTTATCAAGGTCATATTCACACTAGCATCAAAAATTTTACAAAATGGTGGAAATAAGGACTGTCGAAAAACATTTTGACTTCAACATTCTCCCTTCGTGCAAGAAAACCAACTTTTAAAGACAACTGATCATGAGGTAGAGTGAGGAAAGAGCTACCTTCTGTGGCGTCAGGAACAGGGGTAGCCGCAAATATTGGCTCCTCAGCGAACATTCTGACAGAGCTCTCATCCGACTTTGAAATGGGACTTGACTATGTTGCATCTCAAAATAGCAAAGTATCATTGCCTGACCACCATTCCTTCACAAATGCCATTGACATTTATTTGCATAGACAAGGAAGGCTTCTTCATCTATTTTCTTCATCGGTGATCATGCTGTATAGGCGTACATTCGAGGGTCTCGAAAGTCTCGTTGCTTCACGGCAAATGCTGGTTATCGTGGTATTACTCGTGTAGCATCTAGCTGACACAGTTAAGTCTAAATCGCCTTTGAAGTAGTAGTAAAAGCTTCCACAGTATTTTTAGGGAACCAGTTGCTATCGTGGTTGGTTGTGATGCCTCCTCAAGGGTCTTGGGAGCTGAGGTGAGCAACAATAGTCTAGTTCAAAGCACAAGATCTTTAATTTTCCCCACTCCTTGAATTCCTCAAGCTTGTATAAAAGAAATGCTTCGTTTGTTACTCTCTGTGGGGAAGATATGTTTCTCATATTGCCTTGATCCTTCAGAGAGTGTTTGTCAGTAGTACAAAGCATAGATTTGCGATTTCTTCAGTTCATTGAACAGAGGCTGCCAATACATACGTCAATCTTTCTGCTAATCCGTAATAATACGTGTTGAATTCTGTACACTTAATCAACAGCCGGATAAGGTTTTGGACCGGATGCTTCCAAGCCTCAAAATTATTTGTATCTGCACATAACCGGAAAACGACTTTAAAGACAACTGTTTCAACGCCATCTATCTTTTTTTTCTCCCAGTTGGAAGGACATAAGATAATCGAATTCAGAATGAGTCTTGCATGACTAATTGCGTTACGGCATCGGAGAACAAAATAATCATAATACTCTCGTCTCTATCTAGGCAACTATGTTGAAACGCGTGAGTAGGAGTGATTCGAGTAAAAAATCGAGGCCCGAAGAACGACAAAAGTTTCCTCTAATTTCTGCACCTACGACGACTGTAGTGACACGAGTCGAAACGCCAGCAGTGGCGAGAGCACTATCAATCTATCCTATGCCTACCTTCAGTGACGAGGAGCAGAGCCAGGGGAATGTTGATAATGGTGAGGAGGCAAGAGAGGAAGGAGAACTTCATAAGCCTGGAAAGTTAGGTACTTCCGTTCCCGCTGAGTTTTCTTCCTGTCCGCTTACAGACGACGCCAGTGTAGGAGCTGCTGCAATGCATGGTACTCCAAACAAACCATAAATCATTGTCTCATCTTCTCTCCTGCTTCTTGCCATGTTTTTGCTACACTTGCACCCCTTGCCGGCTTCACATTGTTTTTCCTTGCAAGTGTAAAATATTTTTTTTTTGCAGTCATGAGGTAGTGACCGCCTATTAGTTACTGATAGTGCACGCAACTTATGACTTGAATCAAAACTTATAGAGGGTCAATGGGTAACACTTTTAGGGAGTTTGAACTGGTCTGCGTTATCATTGCAGACATTTGGTAACGGTTATTTTGCTATTGCTAGCGTGAGTAGTAGAGCAGAAGCACACTTTGGAAGTGGTGTGTATTGGAGAATAAAGGCTTTTCAAGGTTGGGAAACAAGTCAAGTTATTGAGGTGTGGATGCATGCGGTGTGGGTCTATCAGTGATGTGGTGTGTTTTCCAAAACAGCAGTCTAGACTAGCCTAGTGGAGGTTCAAATGAAGATGTATTTCTGGTCACAGAGGCATGTTGATGAATGCGACTGGATAAAACCAAAACACAATGAGTCGAAGGTAAGCATTCGGAAATTATAGGCTTCACAGGTTGTTAGTCTCCACTGAGGCGGGAAATCCGGACGTCATGTAGGACCGTCATTCCTATTGCGGATAGCTTTGCATAAAAAAACGGTGGAAGCAACGCTTCAGGTTTCACAAAAATAATTTAAAAATTCACTAGACGGTTTGTAGCGTCTCGAGGCTTTCTATGGCGTGGACGAAGGCATAAGTGAAATTGAATACATGTATTCCGAAGACGACAGAGCGAATGGGACCCGAGCGTGTTCCGAGGGCCGATCCACGTGAACAAGGGCCAGACAAGTTCCAAAGTTGCCGCCTCACGTTCGCTAGCCACACAAACAAAGCATTGCACGGTTTTACAGCATAATGAATAGTAATACGCGAGGAAAAATTCTTTAAAATTATACAAGGGTATCTATTACAAGTTTATGCTCATCAATTCAATCAAAAATATAATATGAGTACCGCTTTAGCTTTGCCACTTTTGCGCCGTCAGCTTAAGTCATTAGCCTCAGGGTCTGGGGTACGACATTTCGTTTGCCGTCTTCAAGGCATGGTCCAAGCTATGATAGCTTCATCATTTTACTTGGTTTAATATCCAAGCTTTTTCTGTGTTAAAATGCACAAATATTTTGTGCGCGAAGGTATAGACTAATAATACGATTTTGTTGGTAAAAGTCAAAGATTTACTAAGCGTATTATGTTACCCAATATTTGTTATAACGGTTGACTCGCAGCGGCTTTCTTAATTCAACTGAATCTATGTTAACTAACTCTCAGAATGAGTCGCTCGGAACGACCTGGTAAACGGTTGAAATGCTTTGCATCAGTAGAGATGTTTGATATGAGCGAAATTCTTCAGAAAATCCTTACTAAATATTCACCTAATGATGAACGCAAGTCGGCTGTATGTGGGAAAAGTTTGTCAACGATGGATAAGAGAGCCCTTTTTGATCTTAAAGTGAGTTGGTGAGACTTCTCGGATGTTTTTAGGTATTTGTTAAAAAGTATTTGAAAAGGAATAAAAAGACAGTGGAGGTTAATGAAGAGCTTTCCAAAGACCTTTATGATGGAGTTAACTTTAATATTTTGAGGTCATCCCTGAAAATAAGTCAGTTTTACGAAACGAAGCTGCTAAGATCTCAAGATTTTATGGAAAAACACATATCTGCAGTCTGCGGGGCGTGTGTGAGGAGAGTGGTTTCTGTATCCTCTGACGACAATCCTGTGAACGAAGTCACAAACCTTCCCTCGTTCTCAGCGTCAGTAGATAGATCGCTTACTACTTTTGGTCGTTTTCTCACTTTTTCTCGCTAAAAGATCTTTTTTAATTATAGGAGGGATCATGAAGTGGCATTTCTTAAGAGAGAACCAATCCGTATGTGTTTTGATCTGTCTTTATTATGCGCTAGGCCTAGTCCTTGAACTCTCTGTTCTTATTTGTTCAGATACGGACTTATACTGCCGATACTGTGGATCCGCACTCAGCAGCGGGAGTTCGGCTTGTGAGGCGTGCAGACGTTTTCTAAATGAAGTGTGTTCTGGCCTCGATCGTCTTGAAGATGCTGTTTGTATTCGAATTCCGACCTGTCGCGTTTCCGATCCTTTGCCACAGAATCATACGGGCCCTCAGTCAATTCCTTCAACTTGGTGCATGGCTTGCAAGATTTTTCACTACGTTAGTTTAGGGTTTAGGCCAAATATGTAAGTGGCTAGAAATACTCGAGCAATTTTTCGGACAACCTCATTTCCTATTATGCGTTTACTTATCCATGATACTAGAAGTCAGAAACGTAACCCAAACAACGGCGTTATTCTACAATATCTTACAAGCACTCGCCTTAGTCAACCCAGTCTCACATGTTGGGCTCGCTGTAGAAGATGTATTGAATATTTTGCTCGTAAATTAAGTTCACCGTGTGCTGTTCAAGACTGTGGCGAAGGCGATGCTGCAGAGTTGGCGGGCTTCCTCGATCGGCTGTGGTGTCGTGTCCTTCTTGGAACTGAATTTCCGAAGTTAAATAAAGTTACATTTCTGCCAAAGGCGGGTGATGGAGAAAATGAGGTGCATCTTGGTGGTATGTGACAAGTTCACTGCATTTATTATTTAATAAATCATTAGGTTTCCAGTTAGTCTAACTTCGATGAGAGTAAAGCTAAGAATGTATGCAATTTATTGTTATTGCTGTCGGTTGTATTCACTGTAGTCGTGTTATGTTTTTAATGTTGATATACGTTTATCTCTCCAGTCACTTGTGGATGTATCCTTCCAATCCTTACTGTATTTTGATTACTTTGCTTTGCTCACAAATTGAAGAAATTGCAATACCACTTGAGTTTGGTATAATCACCCAAAAGTTGCTTCAATTCCTATGAACCCATATTGCTCGGTGGAGAATTTTCATGTTTGACGCCTCAGGACACATTCTGTTATATTTTCTCGAGTCATTTATGACCCATTTTTAGATTCACTACGAAGTCCTCATACATCGCCGGTGCTTCACGAGAGTGAGGTCCCCGAAAAGCAGTCCTGTAGTCTTTGTTCCAAGGCACATTCCGATGTGTTTGTAATCACGCTGGGTCCGGGTAGCACCCTTAAGAAGCCGGAGGTGAGAGCCTGTGGTGCCTGTGTTCTGAGGTGTCGTACCGCGGCAATTCGAGTGGCTGAGCTGTTCCCTGACACTGGGTGCGATGCATTGTTCAAATGGTATAGCACGTTCACTGAAGGCCTTTCCACCTCACGTCTATGCGAGTGTTCCACTGTTAATACTAAATGCGATTTTTGTTATCTTGCGGAGTGCATAATGTTGTTTTGCGTTCAATTGAAGTCGAAAATATTTTCGGGAAACAATACGAATGATGAGCAGATGGGAGGTAAATTACTAGCCCTCGGTTCTCCTCTCTTTTTTGCCTGTTGTCGACCGCTTCCCGAACGTATGTCAAAAGATGTGGAACTTTACTCGAGGTAAGTTGTTATCAGTAACATTTGTTCTTTAAAAGAAGTTTCTAGTCTATTCTTCTGTATAGATTCATCAAAGAAGGTTCGGAAGGAACTAAAGGGGCATTTTGCGTATTATGCCATTCAACATTGCCTACTCTTTTTCGGCTGGCGAACAATACAGTCGTTTGCCAGGACTGTGTTCTCGGTTACAAGGCATTGCTTGCTCTGCTGTCGAAAGGGAAAAAGAAGTCATCATCAGACTTGGCCTTGTTGACGAGATTTATGGGTCTACCCTGTCACCCTAACATCAATCACACGGCCGGACAAGTTCCTTTGTGGGCAGTCTGTTTACCTTGTCACGCACGCAGATGCCTACGGTTACTGCATCCCCTTGAACCCTGTCTCGATCTGCCTCAGTGGCTCAAACATCGAGCTCGCCTCGTATTTTACCATCCTTCTCCCAACAAGGGTGTTGGTCTCTGTGATCTCGATCCAACAATTTCGGTTTTGAAGGTATTTTTTGCAGTACCCAAATAATGTGGTATTTGTGTTCTCATTTTAATAGGTAATGTCTTTGCTAATTTCTGTGTTTTTAAGAAAAGGCGCAAAGGATTGAAGTACTACTACGTCACAAAGGCTTCTTTGAATGTGGGAAAATTGTTGGAAATGGTGGAAATGCTTCCGGTTCCGGATGCGCTGGTTTTCCCTGATCCTGATGATGATGAGAATTCCTTTATCAATAGTAGCACCTCTTCTTGTGCCTCGTCCTCTATTCGTGTTTTGTCCGAGCTAGATTCTGACCAGGAACAAATTCAGGTTCTTTGTTGTGTCGTATAATTGAGCCTTACTATGAGTCGCTGTTCGATACTCATCTCATCCCGTTTCAGGCTTCGAAACCGCTAGCGACAGAAAAGCATTCAGCAGAGGCTGAAACTTTGCCTAACACGTTGCAGACTTCTCTTCGAGATCGTCGAAGCCGTCGACTCACAGCAAAGTATGCAGAGGCACTGGAGGAGCAGATGCGACGGCGTCGGCAGAGAGAAAATGACACCAGTACTATGGGTTTTTCTACTGTAACTGCTTCAATGGGGGAAGAAGATGAAGAAAATCTAAATCGCTTAGAAGAGAAGCGACCTCAGGTGGAACGAGATCCACAACTTGTCAAATCACTCAAGAGATCAAGGCCGGGTAGTTCACCAGACAACATTGTCGAAGGTAAACGGAAGCCAAAAGCCAACGTAAGCGCGAAACATACTAGCAGCGGTTGTTATTACGCAATACTTTCGTCTTCTATTCCATCCTTTTCAATGCGTTCGTCTAGCTGAGACTGCAGACTGATTATGCAACGTTAGGTCCGCAGGGAAAATGGGAGAGTAGGAGCAGAGTTCATTCGCAGTTGGAAGACCCTCTGAGCGACATTTCATCGTCCTCAATCTCTGTAAGTGGATCTAACCGCCGGCAACGACGACGCCCTCAACCGACTGCACAACGGAATCGGGGGGGCCCGCGTGTTAAAGCGGTTGATCGAAATACTCGTGAGTTTCTTTGCGACTCAATGAATTTCGGTTTTGGTCAATCGATTTCACTTTTTAATTTATAGCTAAGAGGAGTTTGCATGGATAGAGGATGGTAAGTAGTTTTCTTTGCTTTATTACGGTTTAACTATGGATGTTCATGTATTTAATTTGAAGTTGAGAAAGGACTGGCTGTAGTACAGTAGGACTGGAGCCAATGGAACTGAAACAGTGCCCTTTTAAGCAATGGGAAGCCTTTTAGTTTTTCCCCTGGACACCCGCTCGATATACTTGTTCTCTTGTCCATGCGCAGGGTGACTTCACGCTGCGACTCTGTTATCTATGTTCAAAGATTGCTCTTAGGATAAGGGATTTTAGTCGTTCACGATCGAGATGAAGATTTTGTTGAGGTAATCCTTTCGCCATCAGAATTGCATTCTCTGTTCTGTCTTATTGTCGGAACTAACATCGGCTACAAGCCTAATTTTGGCGGTTCTCCTCTGGTTTTTCAATTATTTATGCAATATCACACAGTAGGGTGTCAAAACTTATTGTTTCTGTTTGTTTTACAAACCAGCTTTGGGCATTCAGTGCAGTAATCCTATGTTGGTCATGAAGCATGCAGCCAAACTGGCGGCTGTTGGAGCCCAAACTCAGGACGGCACTAGTCCTCTTATGGCGGCCTCCGCAGCCACTGCCGAGGCTTATTTCTCCGATGGCAGCTCTGCAGACGGCAACAATCGTTTAAGGCCTGATTGTGGGAATTGTGCCGCCTGTAGAGGCATGGTCGCACCTTGTGGACGATGCCACAGTTGCCGGTAGACCGCATTTCATTTTATCGATGTTCAATCTTACTGCGATTACTTAAATGCTCTGTGGTTACTTTGGTTTCAGGCAACAGGCTCATTACGGGAGTGGGGGCTCTGGCGTTAGGCATCTTCCATGCATGTAAACTGCTAAACCTCGTTCATTTTTATTTCCCTTTCCAACTTATTTAACCTACTTTCTCTGTTTCAGTGAGACCATTTGCCATAGAAGGAGACACTTGGTAACCGCAAGAGGTGAAGGGCCGCGTGTAAGCTAACATTTTTGAGGCCGAGCCTTCTACTTTATTTCAACCGTATCATGATTGTTGGACAACTTAATATCCTTATTAGGGTTCCCAGAATGGCCTATTTTTTTGAAGTGAGACGGACTGGATCAGCATCCAATCATTGCTTGCATACTGTAGAAACTTACTTAATTCGAAGTTTGTATTTTCGAAATCGTCAAAGTTAATTTGAACTCATGTTTAGTCATTGTTTGCAGTTTTTGCATTTGTCGACGCAACGAATGGAATTGGTAGCTTGTTTGGAAGCTCCATTATGACCTTGCGAGTGCGATTTAGGAGTTTAGTAACTGATTTTCACTCAAATAAAGCGTGAGGACTCCTTTACACATAGTACCTCATGAACAGATGCTAGTTTACTAACGTTTGCAGCTATGGTTTTCTTCCCAAAGGTCAAAGTTCCAGCGAATTTCTCGACTCGCTCTTATCAACAAGCTCAGAAAGCCATGAAACACGCACCTCCACCTCCTGGACCAGCACCTCAGCCTTCGCTCCTCGAGACTGTTCCCGGTCTGCAGGAACAGCTCATGAACGGCTCTTCATCTAGTAGTCGAACAAGACCGACCCAGTCTTTTCACGGTCCACTGCCGCCGGCCTCAATGGACTCTTTGTCTTCGGCAATACTTCGCACAGAGTCTACTGCTTCGGCATCTACCAACAAGCTCGAGGTTTTTGCTGACGCTCCCATACGCTCACTTCGTGGTGGCGATCTCGGTATGCATTTTGCACCTAAAGACTCCTACAATGAAGAGCCTTCAAGTCACGCGATAGCGCCTGTTGAAGGCGAGGTTATTGACGGGGACATTGCCTATCGCGGTGGCTTTCCTGTTGTCACTTCTTCGGTGTCGGCCCCACTGAAGGCGATTTGCTACTTGTGTGGTTCTGCTGGCGTTTATGTGAGGTCTTCGCTTTTTCTATTCTAGTAAGAGTTTAAATCGATTAAATTCATTTAGTGTTTTGTGCTCCATCCCTTTTACAGTTGCGAACCTGTGTATCGTGCGCGGAGCCATTTCACTCCTTCTGCGATAGGCATCAGTCACTTTCAAAGGACAAGAATTCTTTCCTCTGCTGCAACTGTATTAATTGTGACGTTTGCGGCCAAAATGCTGTGGAACTTCGTTGTTCAGAATGCTTATGTGGCTTTCATCCAGGCTGTCTACCGTACTATGCCCCTGCTCAGGTCAAAGTGAAGGGAAAGTGGGTACGTTTTCAATATCCAACAGCAGTGGGGGCCATCAATCGTTATCTCTGATGACTGATGGCAGCTTCGCCTTTGGTAGGTGTGTCCAAACTGTACAAAGTGTGTACACTGTTTGGTGAGCCCGAGAGATCGAGAGATAGCCATGTGCCGCATGGGCAACGAAGACGCGGACATCGTACCGTGGTCGCGTGATCCAGCTAAGTGCGCGGCGTGTGCGGTTGCAGAGGCGAAGCGTCACGTCTGTCCGCAGTGCAACCGAACCTACCTCGAGGAAACTGTGGAAATGATCGAGTGCGACTCTTGCCATCGCTGGCTACATAGGGCCTGTGCGAAGCTCAGCTGTAAGGGTCGCTGATTTCGGGTTCTGCATCCAATTTCTTATGGTTTACAATTATCCTAGTTTAATTGGGGCTAAATAGTAGGTTTCTGTGACTAATAATAGTTGAAGCCTGATGTATTCGAACGTTAAAAGGGAATTCCTCTCCCTCAAGAGTGTTAGTTCTGCCCTGAGAAGTATGTGGATATTGTGGTAGCTTGAATTTCGTTAGACATATTTTGCCCATTTTGTTGATATTAGGTTATCAGGTTTATCGTACCAAACTGGCATTAGGTGCTGTTTTTAGGAATAGTCTAGATGGCGTACCACCCAGCATGACGTAACGCTCAAACACTATGATATGTTTAGTCGTATTTGATAAAGGAGATATGAACTCTGTTTTCGCTTACCATTGTTAAGTTTATCACGGCTCGTCGACCTTTTTACAAAATCAATTCGTTGCGTTCTTTTATTACATTAAAGCATTCAATAATTGCTATTATTTCAACACTTCTGGACAGATTTAGTCGGTTCATAGTGTATCATTGGGGGTCCATTTTTCCTGAAGATGATCAATATGAATTAATTGCGAGGGCTCCTCCAAATCAGCTACGTTCCTTCACCGTCTACTGTTCTTCTTGCAAACAAAGTCTTGCTACCCATTCCGCCAAAGCTCGCCAAGTCGACGACGACGATAAACTTCGTCATATTACCAGAGAATCCCTCACAAAGCGTATGAACGCTCTCATTGAGAGTTGCAAGGCCTCTTATGAACCAACTCCAGGTCCATCTACGCACCCCTCATCTGCGTCACCTGGACCACCTGATCCCAAAAGTGTTGACCATAATGTAATGTCGTCTTGGGACTGCGCCGGTGCTGATCCTCACCTTCCCCAAGTAGACGGTCTTAATGACTCTCCCACTGAGAGTACATTAAGTTCGTGTGCACCGACTCTCTCCGCAGGCTCCGCTGCCTTTAACCCCAAGAGTCCCTCAAAATCAATTAGGAGGGGTACCCGTGGAGCTCCCCCATCCTCATGGCTAATTCATTCAGAATTGCAGCCACCACCAATGTACGCCGGGTGGCTAGTGGAGCGTTTGAATACGAAACATTGGATAACTCCTGTGAGTTTTCTGGGATAATACTTGGCTGCCCTCTTGACATGCCTCCATTAACCAGTTGTATTTTGACGGTTTTAGAAAAATCTGTCGTACCTGCTGCTGGCAAGACTGATTGCCAAGATTGACAGGACTTCAGTTGCCTCACATGACTACCTTCAGCTCAGAAGACTTCTCTCCTGGCTTGCAAACTCCATTGAGACCCTTTTTCCGTGGCTAGAGGCTTCTTGCACTACTAAAGAGGGTATGAAAAAACCATTTTCGACTTTCTTCACCGAATTCATAACGACTTCCATCAATGTAGGAAAATGTTTGCTGTTAACATGGAGGGTAACTGATGGGCCATAGGCATGACCAGTGGGTCATATTATTGAGTGTGGTCTGACGTAATTGCAACTTTCGGTAACCACAGTTGAACTGCGGTGGCTTGGGAATAGGACTTATATCACCCATAAATCTACTACTGCCAGAATACAGTAGTGGGGCTTGTTAGCTGCTAAGCAGCAGTAGTCGGGCCTGTTTATAAAGTTTAGCTTATAAGTAAAAGGGGAGGGGAAAGGTAGAATTGGGAACCTGAATCGGTTTTTTTCAAATCCTGCTTTTATGCTATTCAGATGCAGTTATTTGAAATATTTGGTATAGCTTCGATCTTTCAGTATAGTAGAGGTGTGCTGTCCTTCTTCTTCTTTGCAGTTCGAGCTCTCCTTCGGCAAGGCCAGGGTTCCCTCACATCTGTTGCAGATTTTTTGTTCTCTGTCGCTGAACTGGAACTTTACGAATTAGCTTGCCCATATGTCGTAGGCATCATTGGCAAGACACGCACACGTCTTGTCTTTCAATCCTACCAACTAGGTGCACCTCGAACATTGGGCTTCTATCGGGAGTGCATTGAACAGGTCCATGAGCATCTCGTCACTCATCATAGCAACTTCGAAAACTGCAGTCGTCGGTTTGAGGACGCACAGGATGTTTTTATTAAGCAGAGAGAGCTGAATGCTCACTGCTGTGATCCAAAAACTTTACTAGAATCAGCTCCAGAGTCATTCGGGGAACCTGATGGAGATAGTGGGTTTTTTCTCTCAAATCTTTCCAGATTATGATTCTTACAACTATATTGAGTAGTGCTTTTCTTCTGTTACTCGTTCCGTAGTTGCGATTGCTAACTTCCAAAAGGAGCTGTTTTTCAAATGGCAGCGTCTGCTCCATCATCCTAATCGCAGGTCAATACTGAAGTCACTAGAGGAAGATGATATGGTTTACTACTTCGGTTTAAAACACAATTGGCAAGCTCTGATTGAGGAATACGCCGATCAGATGGTTCCGCTGCCTCTACGGTCAGCTGTTGACCTCGATGACAGCGACCCAGACGCTTCAGACAATCACGAGTTCAAAGCACTTCCAATGGAGACCATTGGTAGAGAAGAAAAGCTGCTGTTTGACTCCTCCAGCGAGCCGAGGAGGTGTCTTCTGTGCGCACGAAACACGGATAGTAGCATTGAAGATCGTTTAATTTACATCGGTTCCGACACGTGGATTCATGTAAACTGCGCTCTCTGGAGCAAGGAGGTTTTCGAGGAGGATTCGGGTCAATTGACTGGTCTTTCTGCTGCATTGCGTCGTGGCGGGCGCACACGATGCCTAGACTGCAATAATTTGGGTGCAACGGTAACATGCTCAAACGCCGAGTCTTGTGGCGTCGTGGTGCACTTCTCCTGTGCCATGCGTCGTCGAAGACCCATTTCTAGCAGACCCATTTTCACCGCTGACAGGTCCTTCTTCTGCTCACCTGAGTGTTATGCCGAAGCAAAAAGGGTGCGTCTCATTGAGGCCGTTCGCCATTTGCGCCTCAAGAAGTTAAGGCGCCTCTACGTAAACGGGGAGGTGGGCGCGTGGGAGGAAGAGGAGGCTATTAACAATGATTCTAGAGACGTGGCTTCTCTAGTCGCTGCCAATGAGATAACTAAGGATGAGGTCGAAAACATCAAGGTCCAAATTGATTGTGATTTAGAGGTACGCTGTAGCTCTTTGTTGCTTGCAATGACTTATAATAGATAACCTATTGGGATGTCTTTTTTTGCTTACAAATGTATTGCTTAGCTGGTGCCGGTGCCAGTTTTCAATTGGGTTGATTCCGCTTTCCTTGTCTCGAGCAGTTTGTAACACTGGCAGAATATATCTATTTATAATCTGAAACTAAGCTCATGGGATATAAATAATGCGATTTTAAAGGGCCTGCCTTCCAAATTCGATCTCTGTTCCTGTACAGAGTCTTACATTTTCAAATTCCACTAGTAAACCAGTCTCACTTAACGGTTTGGGCTTCCTCTCATGGTGAAATCATAGTCATGCCCTTTCCTAATGATCAAAGGATTGCAATTATGAATCGATGAGAGATGCTCACTTAGTAGTCGATGTATTCCTGTTATCTGCTGGAATTGACCTTAACGAGCTGTCACAATTACTCTTTTCTAAGGCACAAGTTCAAGGAGTGTGGGAATTCGGGTTGTGGCATATGAGTGATGGGACATGACGTCTGGATCCATTTCCATTGATGGACTTGCTGATCATTTCTGTAAAAAACAATGTTTTGTTTTGTTTATAAGAGTCCGGAATTGAGAGAAATGCTTGTTTGTCGTCGCGTATTTGTACCATCCGACTGTTTCATCGCTTCGATGAGGGGTGACGGTTCCAGTGATGGGAGTGAAGAGACAGACGTCGGTGACAGTGATAATGACGGCAACGGTGCCCTCCGCGCGGAGAACTGCCCACACCAGCCTGTTCTTGCTCTTGCCATCTCACCCAATACCCTTGATTTTGCTTCTCACAAACTTCCCGCCTCTGCATTCGTTGTCACTATCGGTGCCCTGCGCATCGATAGATTAGGCCACATTGGTGAGGCCTCCGACTCTCTCTGTCGTCGGGGCGATCGTGAGAAACCGGGGTATCTATGTCCCATCGGATATCGGTAGATCATCTTTATCATCTTCGTCTGTTTATTGTATTTTGTAGTATCTGTAAGTCTTCTTTTTTAGAGCACGGCGCTTCTTTTGGAGTAGCACCATTCCAAATGCTCTTGAACCTTACACATTAAGTGTGAGTCAGATACATGTACCACCAACTCCAAGGTCGCAGCTGAATTTTGCCGAAAAACCCCACGCGTGCTACAATAATGAGACTCTCTTGCCACGGCACCAGAAAAATGACCTCTCTGCTGCGAATCAAAGCAATATTGACAAGTCTGTCACAACTTCATCTGGAAGGATCATTCCCACCTTATGCAGCTCGCGAATTCTTACCTCCTCCGCTTTTGACCCACATCCAAATAATCCAGTGGGGCTTCCCTCAATTCGTTTCACTTACTCGTAAGTCGGGTTGCTGTGGTCAATTTTCAGGCCTTCCTCGGTAAGGCTAAGGGGGAGTCATGTAAAGATTGGCAACTTTTTGAAGTATTTTCTTGATGTTGGGATGACAAGAGTGGATGCAGAAGTGGTGTGGGTTGTTTCTAGACCTAGAAAGTTTTTCTGGTGATGGTGTGATGTTGAAGTATGAATTGTTGGTGTCAAAATTAATGACCCCTTCCATCTTATTCGATCCAGGCAAGGTATGATGTCAAACCGGATGGCTCAAAAACAATCCCTCAGCCCACAGCATATTGCACAATCAACACCAAAAAATCCAGCACCCTCTGCTTCTCAGGGTATTTCCTTGCCTTCCACAATGGCCTCGGTACAGTCTTTGTCTTCGCTTAATGTATCTTCAATCCAAGTGACTGAGATGGCATCACCAGCCTCCGTCAACAGTAGTTGTAACAGCTGCAGTTGGAGCAATAAGAGCCTTTCCTTAGCAACTGCTTGTATTGTTAAGAATAGCCTTTCTTCCCAGGGCAAATCTCTCATCATTCCTACAAAGTCATCTTTTTCTTCGCCGAAATTTGCTAATACCGTTCCTTCTCAAAAAGCCTCCGCTCCGCGCATTGTCAGCGCAAGTGAGTCATTCACATCGCGTTTCGTGTTTAAATGATTCGCCTATACAATCCCAGTGACATTGTGTTAACCAGGAAGTGCTCAATCGTTGTCCGTTGTTAACTTTCAAATGACATCTTTTTCGAACTTGGCGCACATTTGATAATATGGTAGTCTATTTTTCGGCATTATTGCGAAACAATCCGAGTTTCGTCTATCACTGATACTTGGAGGTGTCCAAATAACTATTTTTCGGGTGCGAAAATTTGATTTCCCAATTTGTCCTGAATTTCTAGAATGGTTATGGTAAACAGCTAAATTCAGATTCTATCATTTCTACCTTAATATTATTGTAAAACCAGGCACAAAGTGGGGTAAAAACCGTCTGGAATGCCAATTGGTCCCTGCCTTACTAACCCAATGCGAGCGGAGGCGTGATCAGATTAATAGGAAATCGATTTCTGACCCAGTCTTTACTCGAAATGCATCCATATTTCCCAGTTTCCGTTCCGAAGTTAACAACACAGTCGCGTCTTACTGGTTCTACTTCAAGACCCCTTCCTGTGTATTCTATCTCTTCGGCCGTCAAGAGCGGTGTGGTTACCCAAGTCACTCCAGTGCGGTCATCATCTATTCGAATAATTGAAAAAAGAACTTCTCAAGCCGATATAAATCAACCAATCGCTGGTAGGTAGCTCATTCTTAGATCTGCTTGCATACACATTCCATTTTCTTGCACTTGTCCATGTCCAGGTGAGAGCAAGCGGCCGGTTGTTCTACGTGTGTCGGGTGGACCAATGCTTGTGGGCTCTAAAACTCCACATCTCTCGCACCATTCCGTGGTCGTTCGTCAACCGGAACGTCCGGCTACTGCGTCACTTGCTGCTCCCCCTATCATCCCTCTCACACAAACTGTCCGCATGACTAGGCTTGCGGTGCCATCCTCCACTCCTGTTGTCGCTCGAATCTTACCTCCGATCTCTGGTGAAACTTCTCAAACTCCTACATCCAAGCTGAGCGATGCACAGCTTGCCTCACAACTGGATGGCATTTTTAATAAGTACTAAACTCTTACTCTTACTTCTTACTTTCAGTTTTTAACTCAAAAGCGGCTTGACATTGGCACCCTCTAGGCACTATTTTTAAGTGTTCCTTTTAGAATATGCTTCATTTCTAACATATTGTTTGGTATGGGTTTTTCCTTTATTTTAGTATTCGACCACCTGGGAAGCCGACAACTTCCGTAAGTACATCATGAACAGCTTAACAACTGCTTTTATCAGGTACTTTTCATCAATAATTAATTCATTTGTATGCAGCGACCTTCAATAGATATTTCGCAATCCGAATCAGAAGTCCCATCTTCCCCTCACCAAGACATACTTCGGGTACCCCAGATTAGTCAACTCGATGGTATAAACGATATGATTGATTTCGGCACTTACCCATCACGTGGAAATAATGTCGCCATTGATGGGAGATCAAAGAGGAGGTGGATGGTCGAGCGGGAAAATCGTCTTGCACTCAACTTAAGCGTACTTAAAGCCAGACAGGCGGTCAACGATCGCTTTTATCAGAAGGAGGCAGCCCTTTATGTAAGTTTAGAACTATTAGTAGTGTAACTTCGTGTCCTGCTGTCTCACACAACTCATACTGCTCTTACTGGTATGCCTTTTTGACGTCTGGTCCAGGTTAAGTCGTTTCGGCTTCAGTTCTCCACCAGTCTGATAGATTCATTTCTACCCAGTCCATCGTCCGCTTGGCGTGAGGTCGTCAATGCAGTGCTTAAATTGCGGAAGGAAAATGCCATCCCTCACCCAATTTCTCAACGTGAGTGAATCTCCATGCCTTCTTAGATGCTCATTTCACCTACCTAGAGATGTTTAGTCTCTTGTATGTATTCGTAGGACCAAACGGATGGGCACAATTTGGATTAAGTCATCGGCACGTTATTTTTCTTTTGGAACAACTTCCTGGTGCCCACGCTTGCTTCCGGTATCGATTTCGATACCACCGATATCGGATTAATCAAATTCGGGAAAGAGTAAGCAATTTTTTAGTCGTATTTTTGAGTTTGGTTATGTTATTAGATTCGTGAACCAATGGTAGGCAAGGGAGTGAGCTCCCTTTAGTAGCCTACTTTGTATTTAATCAGCAATTAAAGCAACTGGGTTGAAGCCACTTCCTCAAGTGCTGGTCAAAATCCTGTGGAAACGATCTCTTTTCGTTATCTGGGTTGGAGTTTTTTTAAATAAGTGGTGAAGATTTTTCTTCTTGCTAGTTTTATTAGTAGCTTAAATTTCCTAGCCGATTTGCTGATCAAAACAACAGTATTTATTCCATCTGTTATGGCTAATATGAAGAGTTAATAAGCATTAAATTGGTTGATTTAAGTGTCCACAAATTTCTTGCATAATTATTTCAACGCTATCACCAAGGGTGAATAATCCTTATCTGTCTGCTGAGTTTTGATAAGAAACTCGGTCAATTAGAGGATTTAGGCACTTGTTTGGAGTACCATGCATAAAAACTCGTCTGATTTGATTGTGAACTATCGATTTCGGGAGACATTTAAAAGCTTTGAGGCTCTCAAATCCTTCTACTGATTTGCATGTACCTATTAGTACAAACCACCCGTCCCAGTTCACGAGGGTGCAGCCCGCTTGATGGCCTACTCGAAGTTGAAGGCTGTGACGGTTCGGAAACAGGCACGTGATCCTCTTGACTTCCTCTTGTGTGAGGCGAATCGAGCGCCACAATCTTGTTTGCCCCTCGATTGGCCCTCAGAGACCGCAGAGGGGCCTGAACGCACCACCGCTCCCTCCTCGTCATGTATCGACGCTGCTCGCCGGGCCGCCTCTATTGTTGCAACCTCTCTAAACCTCTCACCACGCTTTCACGCGCGGACTGTCGAGGCGGCTGTTGCTGAGGCCACAGCAGACATCGTGGAGGAGGCGGAAGATGCTGCCGTTGCTGCTGCTGGTCGGTCTCGCAATCAACTCTCCGTAAGTACCTCTTGAATTCGCCTTCCCTCACGATTTCATATCCGAAGTTTGGGTTAAACTCAGTGCTATATTTCTGAGGTGAAGGAAGGGAACTGCCCCTTTCTGTTATAGCTTTTCCTAAGTTTTGCATTTAGACAGCTTTCCGATCTCTGTCCTCTAGAAGGGGCTTGACGGTGCAAGATTAATACAGACAGAATGTTGATCACATTCCACATCCGTGGAATTTTGGCACGGTTATGGTTCCCTTGCGTCACTTGTTAATGAAGGCTTAATAACTGATACTGCCTCACATGTGATCTTTTTCTGCAAAATGTGCTTACGAGTAGTTTTTGATTTATTCTGCATGGTTTTTGCATTGGCTTATTTTGTAGCCCTAATAGGCGTTCTAACTGAGTCTTCACATTATTTCGTCCAACTCTGTTTTTTTTTTCGCCATTTCCATTGCTTTAACCCTTCTCTAACAGTGTACTATGCTGCAGAAATTTGATAATGACCGTCCTAAATCTTAGTTTAGTATGCGGTGTTGCAGGTTGTTCGTACTTAAGCCCAAATATTTCGGTCTTTCGACACCCTTTGTAATTGTGCAGTCACGATTTGACCAGTATGGTCACTGATTTAGCTAACATACCAGCTACGAAATCTGGTGTCGAACCGTGAGGCTCGTTTGAGGCGTGTGGCGGTGTACCCATCGCGGATTCATAAACGTGGTCTCTTCGCTCTGTGTTCCTTCCGCCCCGAGGAACTGATTTGCGAATACACTGGCGAGCTGATCCGCAACATCATTTGCGAGCGTCGAGAAGCTGAATACCAGGCTAGCGGTGTTGACTGCTACTTCTTCCGCATTGATAACGATTGGGTCATTGACGCCACATACGCCGGCAATTACGCTCGATTCATCAACCATTCCTGTCAGGTTAGGCTTTTCCTCTTCAGCTGCCTTCTATTGCTACGGCTTTGCTGCCATTACTCACTATTTGTTCACTTATGACTGCAATGGTCAAGGACTAGTCCATGCCTTGGCCACCATTTAGTTTACCACCATTCCAGCTGTCATTTCATCACTCTTCCTCTGCAGTTGGGGTCTCTTGGTCTTCCATATACAATACGCTTTTTAAGAAGCGGAAGCAAATAGAATTTCTTAAGTATAACGACGAGTTGGTTGTGCGGCAAATGCGAACAGTAAGTCGCATATGCAAGTGTCAAAGGGTTGACGAGATCTCTCAATTTACTACGATCAAAACATGTGAATAATTTTCTTCAAGCTTCTTCATTAATGCCTTAAGCTTGTTAGGCTTCCAAGCGTTGGTGCAGGCATATGTTGCGCTGATGCAGCTTTAAGTAAGATGCACTTGGAGCACTGTAGTAACCATTTACAATGAAGACTTAATTATTCTGTTAGTATTCATTGTCATGCTCTCATCGACATTTTGATCTGTGATTGTACCTGAAAAGTTCTATGCATTGCCAGCGTTGGTTGTTTTGGTTGCTTTTTGAGGAACCCGAACTATGCGATTACTATGTGCAACTTCAGTCAAATGAGAACATTGTCTATTGTCGGGACTCGTCTATGGACAAATGGCTTTGATGTTCTATTTCCTGTTATTCTCTACACTGAGTAGTATGTCGAAATGCTATAGACTATTGCAGTATATTTCAGAACTATCCTGTGAAATCAGGCTTTGCGTGGAGACTAACAATGCTTTTTTGGAGGAAACCGTAGTATCATGAATGTACCTGTATTCATCTTCTGATTGCAGCCAAATTGCGACGCCAAGACCATAACTATGGGGGACTCCAGCCACATTGTCATCATTGCCAAACGGAGGTGAGTTTTTGCTGGCTTGCCACATCTTACCGTTTGAGTAATATGACATTCGTCTCTTTTGTTCCTTCTAGAATTCTTCCTGGCGAAGAACTCACCTATGACTATCGGTTTCCAAAGGAAACGGAAAAGTTGTTGTGCAATTGTGGCCGAATCGGATGTAGAAAATACCTTAACTAAATACTTAATCAGCATACCTACTAACCAATCGACTGCAATGCTCTCCATATATTTTGCACCATTATTTTCTAATATGTATCTATGCGTATGTTCAGATGCACCCCATATCCTCATTAATATAAATTTTATCTATTAAGGTGTCTGTGTACAGTTGAAATACCCTGCTTAGATGTTTCCATTTCGTGTCAATCTGATCATTTTACGTGCTATCTCGTGCTTTGATCGGTTGTTGGTTCTACCTGATTGGCACTTACTCAATATTTGCAAATATAATACCTATATGTCACCTATATTCATTCAGGTTTTTTACTTTCAAACTCGACTTGGGCAGTGACAGAATCGGTGTCTATCTCGTCGTTGTTGATGCGAGACCGATCGTATTGAGGAAGTCGGAGATGATGCTCCTCTGCAGTTCTGACGCTTATGAGTTGCATCGTGGTTGTTTGCGGGATTTATCATTAATTTAATGGCGCTTGAGGTGAAGTTATGTTGATGGGTTTATGAAGTGTCGAAGGTCATTTTGGCAATCGTAGTGTTCAAGGAACAGCTTGGCTCTGCGTCGACCTGTGAAGCTGAGAGAATGCAAATCAAGTGGCGTTAGAATAGTGATCCTAGGAGGATGATATGAACGGATGTGGTGCCATTTGGCAGCATAGTATTCAAGGCGCCTGCGGTGGAGTTTGGGATTCAGTTTTCCTAGTGGGTTACCCTTAGTTTGTGCTTATATTGAGATTTGATCAGTGACGTGAAGTCAGAAGCTGGTCAGGGTGTACACGTTTTCACCGCCACTGATGTTTATCGTGGGAATCGTCGCGTTACTATCATGGAAAAGTTGATATGGTATTGCTCAATGTCTTTCATCCCCTCGAATACACTGACGGTCCGTTGCTGGTGACGGGCTTTTAGTCCACTCATGGTTTTCATCTATCAGGCTCACTACATCTACTAGATGCGGGAAGATGTGGTTAAGTGCATTATAAACTTATGAATGATTTGTTCTATGATTATACACAAGCTGTAAAAAGTAGTTTGAAATATGAATAAAAGCAGGGAAGACAGGGAATCCAACTGATCTTTGGAAACGGTTTGCAAGTTATCTCAGAATAAAAACTTATTGGGGAAACAGAATAAAGGGTTCGATTATCTGCGCCGCTGAGCACGGAATAACATCTAACCCTAAAACTTCATTTGATTCGTTATCATCTTACAGATAGATAATAATAATCGACATTTTTTGATGCATTCGTGTGCTACATAAATCAGACAAATTCTTATGCCTTTTTCAATTTGCCTGCAGCTTTACTAAGCTCTCCACAAATCAACATAAATCAGCAGGGGATTAACATGGTTAAGATGCATCTCCACCTCGCATCACCCCTCCGTTCCCCTACGCCTGTCTTCCTATTGGTCCAAAAATCAGCTTGAGCGCTAAGATGACGGTATAACGCAAGTGGCCTGCGGCGCACACCTCCGCGCACAAGGCTGGTGGGGCGGGTGTGTGAACGTGTGCAGCACGGGGGCGGAGAAGCAGCAGACTTCACTCGCTGACCTCTCAATGCAGGCGGCTGACCACTGCCAATATCACTACCAGCGTGGAAGGTCCGTGTTTAATATCAGTGATATTCTCGCCGACAAAGCCGATTGCGGAAGAAAACACTTACTCCCCAACGGTAAATTACCCTGTGTCTTAGACTACATGCTGAAAAATGTGCTTTATATCTCACTCCACTTTTTTATAGTCACGATGAAAATTCATTTAGACGCATACTAGTAAGGTTTCGAGGTACCTATGTGAAATAAATCATGAAAGTTAGTAATCCTGGAGCATTTCAGGCCAGTATTGGGAGAGATAAGAAGATCCACACCAGAAGACAAAATTTGGGCTTAACAAAAAAAATCACAATTGCCATTAACGTTACTTACTGTTAAAAGTTTTCAAGAATGTCATATGCGATATTTCATTACATTCAATCGCTTTGTTGCATTGGAATGAATGAGTAAGTCACATTAATAAATTGATCTTCATCAATTCGCCTCTCGTTTACTTCAATGGTATTATTTATGGTGTCAATGCATTGTTTCGCTAAAAGTAATCTTAGTCACTCGTAACAGGAACACATATCGACAGGAGGTTTTCACGGCATGCAACTCTTCATGTTCGAATCACGGCCTATTAAAGTGGATCCTAAAAACTCCGGACCAACTTCCACAAAGGCATATCGCTGAGCGACTGAAAGTGTTTTGGTTAAATGGCATTCAGTGAGCAAGTTTGGATGCATGTCCTCACACAACCTCTGATCACCCTGTAATTGCATGCGAGTTACGCCTCTCCAACTTCTTGTTGCATGTTAATGCAATTAGTAACACACACTTCGGACGTGAAACTAAACACACCTTAGTCACACAAAACATTGGCAGTCTTTAGTACTGGCCCCAAAGGAATGTGAGCAACGTGTCTTTGATGCAGTAATTGACCTAGTTCGTTTCATAAATTGTTTATTTACCAATGTTACGTAATGAAATTTCCCATTGAACAAAAGCATTGTATCCTCGCGTGCCTCCTCGTGCTAAAGGTTTGGATGAGAAGACACTGGTTGAATTGTCTAGAACGTGGCATCCTCGTCAACAGTTAAATGTTCGTCATCAGTGATTCCTTTGTTGTTCCATTTCTGTGAGCATTTACAGGTTGGACCGTCTGAGCTTGGCTAAATGATGCACAGTCTGTAGGTGATGATGTTGAGTACTGCAAAATCATCATAGAAAGAGCCACAAATTTATGAAATCAGTCTATGCTGGGTACAAAGGCAGTATTTTGAGTGATGATAAGGTGGACACTGCTACTCTTTGTTGAACATTTGGTTGACAATCTTCCCAAGATTTAGTTTGATGCTTAGTTGACCACAAGAAATACGTCGGGGGAAATGAACCAAATAACTTGGACATCGTTTGTTTTCGTTGTGGCATTAACAAAATAGGCGAGAGACATGTGTCATCGTAGGACTTAAGTCGCAACAAATCATGAACGTGTGGATATTTAACGTTCAACAGCGGTTTACTTCTCAAAGTAGGTAGCGGTCCCGAAAAGAGCTGTTCACTCCATCTCATCCGCCCTCATGAATGCAAGGCCATTCAATCCGGCCTATTTGAGGCTTTTCAAAGTCTGGTAAACAAAGTTAAGAATCGAGGAGAAGGAAAGGAGGTGCAATTTCTTCAAATCTCACAAAAAAGCAGACGAATGGATTCCGGCACCCAGACGCACCTGCGCCAAAACTTCTGTAAGCATAATAAATCTCCTGATCCTTTACCATTCGATGCTTAACCAGATTTTTGACCATTCGAATGCATAACGAATGCTTCTGCAATTGCAAAAGAGCGCTAACTTCATAATAATTTCGACAGTTTCTGCAGTTGAGACGTTTAAATTAGTGACATGGGCAAAGGTGACAACACAAACGCGTGATCATTCACCCTCAGAATTAAAAATGGAAAATGAGATTGGAGGACGCTTGTGATTTAAGTCGCAAACGATGCCTACTACGGCATTTCATTATAGTAAAAACTTTTTCATCTACCTTTAGCCTTGCAAGGATGAGTTCATCGTTTCAGTTATCCGCTGCTTGCGTAATAGCCATTTCAAATCCTCCAAATTGCAATACATACATCAGAATTTAACAGACGGATTTTAATTTGCTCGAGCATTAAAGTCTGGAATGTTCACAGACAAAAAACTATGCTGTTTGAATGTCCACAGGTTATTGTCCATCAATAATTTGGAACCCAAGTAGATCAGTCGCATCAATTAATGCCTTCTAGCAATGAAAGATCCTAAACCAACAGGCGTACCACAGCCGTACGACATGTTGGTTCATCCGATGAAGAGGAAGAAGACGCGAACGGTGTTCTCAAGAAGTCAAGTTCTTCAGCTGGAGGCAACCTTTGAGACGAAGCGGTATCTCTCCAGCGTAGAGCGCGTCTCACTGGCTCAGACCCTCCACCTGACTGAGACACAGGTGAAGATTTGGTTCCAGAATAGGCGCAACAAGTGGAAGCGCCAAATTGCCTCTAGAGGGCATTGGAGCCTCCAGGCCTCCTCTTTTCCAATCGTGAATCCTCCACTTCATTCATTCAACTACTCTTCACCCCATGACATTTCTCATGAAAGCCTTTCCTTTTCCTGAATTTAAAAACAGTCCACATTATTTTTGCCTTGTCAACCTGAGCAAGACCTTGAAAAGAATTGGGAATGCTTGTTAGCATTAGTACAGTTGGTTTAAAGAGATTCGGAAAATTGTAATGAATTTGGAATGAGAGAAGATACCTCGAACCACTTCTAATGTTGCATTGATGAGCTTGAGAGTTATGCTTGTTGTAAACAACTCATAATAGATGCTCACCTTTCGGCATTTTTATTCAACGTTTCAAGCTTAATTTGTATACTTAAACTTATCGCTGTTTTCTTACCTTAGGTATCTCAGACAGCTTCCAGTGGCCTTTCCTCTTCTTCTAAAGTTGGCGCCATATAAAGGCTGAGAAGAGGCTGGCTTTTAAGTCTTTCGCTGGCGTTTTTGATGCGAAGCATAGGCATTACTTGCTCTCCACTGCGACCTAGTTTGATCGCGTTTTGCCTTCTAATACAATGCCAAAAAATGTATTGCGGAGAAGTTTAGGGGTCGATTGTCAGCAACGTTTTCTTTTTGCTGCAGAAAAAAAGACTGTTAAGTGAAGTAGCCGTTCGAATTTCGCACTCTGGTTGGAATAGTTTGCTTTTACCGTCCCAACGTTTCCAAATGAAATGTTGGCGTTCGCCTACTTCATCCATTTTGTAAAGGCGTCCGATTCTTTCTAAGTAAATGGAAGGGCAACCAGATTTAGACAATTGGGTTGAAGAAAGGTGTTCTGTCTTTGATGGTTCTGTGGGCAAAGTCATTGACATTTGGGAAGCAAAGTTTAAATACCCTATTTTGAACGCGTATCCTGCGTGGTAACTGCAGATTGTTCCGGGCTTCGAATCCAGATTATCACCATGAAGAAGCATTTGGAATACGCGAATTCGGAATTATTTTCAAGAAGTTATTCAACGATTGCATCACCTCCAAGGCCTTCTTTAAGGTAGTTACAAGGAAGTAATTGTTAATTGCCTTTTCCTTCTGCTGCCTCCTTCAAGTAATTCGGACATTGATCTAATCACTCTGCTATTTTGGAAAGTATGGCGTGCTTTGTTGAGCCCTTTAATGAGCTTACTCTGCCTCTTCTCCTCCTCCTCCTCCCCCCTCCTCTCTATTTGATAAGATGATGGCTAGATTTGCAGAATATTGTTTCAGGTTCTGCCAGTCAAATGGCATGCAGGTGGGGATTTGAGGTGACCTCTTTAACCGTTCACCATTACCAATCCTTCACCGAACTTTAGATTTGTTGAAGCAAGAATTTTGTATTAGAAATGAGTGAATGCATTCACCGATCATGCATGGGACATAAGCACTTAACATACGAAATACGCAGAATTGGTATCAGATCTGCGCAATCCCAGGATGAAGTTCGAAGGTCCTCAAAAATTCGTCCTCCTTTACCTCGCACTCCAGGTGGCTGTGAAAGTTTATTAAGTTGCGGATGGGGAAGGAAAATCTTATTCTATTCTTAACAAAGTGCTCCCCAATAATAAGAAACATTCAAAAGTGCTGTTGAATGGAGTAGCAGTTTCAAATTTGTGGGTCGAAAAAATTCCCCCGACGTCACGCAGAGAGCGTGAATGCTGGCAATTAAAGCACACCCATTAATGTGCCTGCATCGAGTCGAGGTGAGGAATTCTCAGAAGATTCAAGTTACTTAAGTTAAAAGCACAACCCATTAATGTACAAGCAGGTTAAATCTATTGTGACGTGAGTGGAGAGGTGGTGGGAGTCATTTTTATTCGGAATAAATAGAGTAAAAGGTGTCCATGTTTCAGAGTGAAATATGTTGCTTGTAAAAACTACAAGTACATCTCCACTATGAAAAAATTGTAAACCGTTGTCACTTTACCAGTGAGTTTAGAAGAGTTTCGAAGCACTACACTTGCACGTGTCAAGGGTGAGGGTTACTGCCTCTCGCGACAGTTGCATGGAATCGCAGTACTTAAATGCATCTACTCCTCCCTTTTCGCGTGCATTTTCATAACTACTAAGTAACAAGGCTCTTTGGTTTTCCATAGTGTGTCTAGCATAGCAAGTCAAAAGCACGTTTGGATGAATAACGGTGTGCTTTCATACTCTTGCCTTTACTTTTCAAACTGACCACTAGAACAGCTGGCGGTTGTCGCACCCTTACACTTCCTTGAAGGCAAACAAAGGTATGATACAAGGTGTAGAATGTGCTTTGCTGACGGGGAGACGGGCGTAGGATCTTCTGCCATGGTCCGGAGGTAAACTGTTCCACTGTGGTGCAATAATAGAGCCTCTCGATGGCTTGTTACCAAGACAGGAAACTGAGAAAACAGTTTGCAAAATGTAACTTTAACCATTGCTTACTGTTTAGGAACATGTGTAACTAATTCGCATAAGCTTATCCATGGCTCCTCCTTATATAAGATTCATTTACGGAGGGGACGGTGTATAGTGGAACGAGAAGGGAATGCGCATTATCGCATTATCGGCTGAACAGTGCTTCTGTGAAGGACTTTTTTGATTTGGTAGCAGGAGGTTTACTGATGTTCCCTCAGTAGACCAAGCATTTCAAGTCGGTACGAAGAGTTTATGAATGGCAACAAAATGCAGAAAAGAGATTGTTTGCTGATTTCTTCAACGAAGCAACACAGTAGTTTGCCCATTCATCGTACCAAACGTATGCATTACTCAACTATGGTAGGTATTGGGCAAAACGATTGATTGCATGCACATTTTCCTATTTGAATGACCATTTTGAAGACTGCTTCACCAGTCACATCCACCCCCCTAATGTTTGTCAACAGAGTTATAGTTTAAGCTGAAATGAGGTTAAATCGTGACTTGAGTGAAGTATACAGCTTTGATATTAAGGGGATTTCGCCTTTTGACAGGATCATTAGGTCGAGGTCTTCACAGCCTCATCATCCAATCGGGTGTATATCAGCTCTTCCATTTCACAGTTTCTTTGTAAATGAAAGATTTTAAGCAATCTATGTTTGCTACCCTTTGTCATAACGATTAAGAGCCGGCAATGCAATAAACACACCTGCTTTTTAATTTGCCTTGTTTGCGTATTGCAATGTTGTTTCATTGACCTACTCTGCCACGATTGGCGCAAATACCAATCACTTAATTGAACAATCTTCCAGTCCTGTGATGACTTCACGCACCAGCTAGTGCATGTGTTTTTGTCCTCTGGCTAAGGGTATTAGGAGAGCGAATTCGCAGAACACAGAGTCCGGACAGTCGAATTCACAATCGTTTCGGACCTTTGCACCTTTAGCATTATTGCAGGATCAGCAGCTTTTGGAGTGGGATTATGCAGTAAAACCTTGAATTGGTGTTTGTCATCTTATTTGAGAATGTGTATTTCGAGGAAAAAGTAGTCCCTGAGTCTTATCTGTCTTGAGTTATGTCATTGTCCATTTAAGCGTTACTTACATCCAGCTCAAAGCCTTTTACAAAAAGAAAAAAAGACCAACATTTTGGAAGATGGATGATTATATTTTACTACTTGTGTTGGCTTAATGCCAGTGGGTTTCTGGATTCCAATCAAAACGCCAGAAATGATGTAATTACATTGAGTAAAAAAGGTTAATCGTTGTAAAATTTATTTTTGCACCGCCTGTACTAAAAAAGGGATTAAATAAGGTCGCTGGGTGTATGCTCCATTCTGATGGAATGTGTGGGCATCACCGTCCAACCAAGGGCTTTCTCCGTCTCGCCAAACAAAACAGTCCTTTAAAAAGGTATACTTCTCTATACAATAGGCTTTTTCAAAAATGTTTTCCACTCATTTCGCGGCCTCTGTTGAATAATGCGTTTTGCCTTCTGAGCGTCGCAAGTGCGCCCGAACTCGACAAGGTGTCGCTGCTCCCCGAGGGACGAGCATGCAGATAAAATCGTAACGTTCCAAGTTATGCTCAAAGTAAACTCTTGCTCGTAAAATTTAAAAAAAAAAACAAGGAATCAGACATTTTTTGGGCTGTGATTTTTTAATTGCTTGATGAAAATTTGCTTACAGGTGAAAAGCAAAAGCGAACCAAAAAATCAGAGTTAATAATTCTACATCATTTCAAATTCCCCTCACCGTCGTAACGAGTCAAAATACTGCGAAAAGCAAACATTGCCAACGCCCATGAGAGGCCATAAAGCCACTGGCAGGACGGATGCACGTAGCTAAGCGGAATATCAAAACCCTACAGTTGATGGTTATTACAGGAATTTGTAAAACAACATTTCCGGACAGCCACTTGGTTAACCTTATGGCTCGTCCTAAGAGGCGCCTCGAGTGCAAATCAAGAACATTTTGAAAATAAGAAATATTTGTAAAAATTCTGTTACCGGACATTTTGCTCGCCTACTGGTTTTCGATACGCACACTCACGTAAACATATTATCATTAGCAATGGATCGGAATTGTTATGAGAATCACGATGCTACACTTTCCCCATAGCCGTCCTTAGGAGGCGGCTAGCATAATTCAAGTGTTGCTCCCTCTTCTCACCGATGACACACATGCAAACCCCAATTGTACCAAAATTCACCATGCAAAAAATAGTTGCCTTTGCTGCCTTCACACGCACTGATTTACGTTCTTTTCCCGTTTTCCAAAAAATCGGCAACTTCATTCCTACAGCTGTCAGCCAATGGTTTCGGTAAACTTTACGATTGTTTTCGAGCCTTCGCTGCACGAGCCATCCACCAATCTCGTTTTATCTCGCACACACCATCATTATGTTTCCCGAGGAACTAAAACAATGACTAGTTTGGAGGTTTAATCTGATAAAATGCATGGTACACGAACAGACGACGTTCTAGTTGTAAGAAAGTGAAAGAACAAATGTAGGCATTGACCAACATCTATGAATGCGATTAGCATTTAGATAACTTGCGAGTTTGCATTAACGGCCGTTCATACCGAAAAGCATACAAATGCGCTAGCTGCAACAATTGTATTGAAACTGGAAGTTACAACTAAACATCATCTCAAGTTGTTCCCTCACCACCTACAAACTCTTTAGCCCATCTGAGAGTCA